CCCTGGACAGCCGGGTGTCCAGCATGTGGTGTTTGCTTGCCTCACTGGCACAGGCTACCTACTTCTTATGGCAATGCAAATGATGGAGCCCGACCTCATAGTAGCCCCAGACTTCTTTTCCTGTCTCACTGCTCGGTTTGAGGGCACAAGCCCCCTAAGCCCTGCAGAGTAGTGTTTTGCTGTACCCATGCGCGGTGCCATGCGGTTTTGCCTCGGGCTGACCTATTTTGCTGCCCCAAACGGGGTGATGAGTCAAACGGAAGTCAATGTTTGCGGTAGAAACAGCTGCAGAAAAACATACATGCCAGCTCATTAGGCATTCCTGCTGGATAGTTCTCTGCTTCAACTTTGCCGGTCGACCTGAAGATGCGGGCAGTGAAGATCTATTGTGTGTCAGTGTGTCTGTGATCATTTGTCAGCTGATTTGAGCTTGGCCACTAGCTGCAGGTTCTCGAACAAGACTTGAGGCAGAGCTACTGAAGGTTGTGCTGCACTGCGGCGCCTTGCCTTGATGCCATCATATTGGAAGCTACAGCTTTGTTGTCAACTTTTAGAAAGCAAAAGAGATCCGAGGCCCCTGAAGCTCATCCAAGAGAGCAGTAGTTTGAACCTGGGCAGTAGGGACCGCAAAAGGGTGTTGCGCTAGACCTTGCTTAGAGTACAGGGCGTGCATCACTACTAAGCACCTGGCGGCGAAACCTGAGTGTATCCTCGGGAGACTTGCGATTTGATGAAAAAAGAGCAGGTCCGTCACTCCGTGCATACGTGCATTAGACCGGTGGCCAGCCCATCCCTCGCATTCAGATGTATGGAAGCTCTCTGAGCTGAGCGATCGGCGGATGCGATTGAAATCGGCATACTTCACATCACCCGAGCCAGCAGTCCACGAGCTGCATCGATGTGAGTGCTGGGATGTTTCATGTTCCCAAATTGTGGCCCAACCAAGACCAACGACCAATGCGGTTTCGAGTGCGGACAGTATCGTTGCGTTGCTGCTCAGTAATCTTCAGCATCGCGCGGTCTGAAATGGAGGTAAATGCTTTGCCAAAGAGCAGTTTCATTATTCCAAGCCGGATTTACATCCCCGCACATGGGCGATGCCATGGTTCTTCCTGCTTGTTGCAGCAAGCATAGCCCCGGCCCAGGGTTTGGCACCATTGATTCTCGGCATGGTATCTTGCTATTTGAACAGATTGATGTCTGAGCTTCGCAGAGTGTTGCAATTGCCGTCCGAGACACTGCGAACCCAGCGTTGTGTGTCGACGGTGTTGTTGCAAGAATCAGGGACAGCCCGGTGATTAGCCTTCGCTATTGTGTTGTTCAAGTGGTCAAGGCCAGTCACCGTTCCCCCATGTGTGGACGGCAACGATCAATGTCCTTATTGGGCAGCGATCGGCGAATGCGAGGCCGAGGGCAATCGTTGTGCTTGAATGGGCGACAGTTGATTCAGCAAGGTGGGATGCCGCAATGTAATTAGCATGGAAAAATCGAACTGGCGCTCCAGAGGGATCTTGTGGCAACAAAGGTTAGAGTGCTAGACATGGTTGCATATGAATAAGGGAAGTAGAGCAGCCCTGATTGATGCTGAAGGGTCAAGCAGCAGTTGCAGTTGTATTGTCACCTTGGAGCACAAGTTTGAAATATGAAAAGTTGCATTCGACACCGACATCCGCGTGGTGCCAGCTGCGCAAGGCAAACCCACGCTTCATGTTGGAAGTTTGCCGCGCATCCTGCCACGTTTGTGCTGGCGACGAAGGCGTCGGCAGCCCGCGTGTGAGCCGGTTGCACATCCATGTTGCGCTCATGGCGGTCTATCCTGCCGGGCGCAGGTTCCCTGCGAATGAAGCTTTACAAACAGCTGGAGCACAACATGAAGCCGAGGCGCAGATTGCATGCTGAACGGCAACCTATGCATCTACAGTTCGTAGCCATAGAACCATGACGTTATCCCAAAGGTTTCCCCCCTTTTCGGTTCTGGTGTCAGCACTTGTGTCGTCCCATCCAAGCTGTTTGTAGAGTAGGTCCCGGGTGCAGGGTTCAGATACATCCGGCATCGTAGCTGTAATGGATCCTTGTTGTCTCTGCCGTGCCCACATGCAGAGAGCAGGCTCAAGCAGGAATCTTGTAACAGCATAGTGTCTTCGCAGAGATCCAAGAAGCCAGGCCTTGACTTGCATCCCGGTCCGTTCAGGTCCAAGACGGCAATACGCGACGTCCAGTTGATCGAGGTTCAGCGTGTCACGAACAGTGGTTCAGTAGTTGACGATTCCAGCAGAAATTCTGATGATGAACCTGATACATGCAAGAGTTCTGCAAGGGCGTGTCGAATGTGTCTAAACGCATCTGACTTCGATGACAAGACAGGTTTCCTACAGTCCACGAGCTCTGCTTGTGGAAGAGTGGCTCCTGCTTCTATTGTTTTGACATGTCGAATGCTGCAACCTTTGGATGGGCCTAGAGTCTAGAGGCCATCAGAACTCTTCGTTCAGTAGTACTGCTTCAGTGACTTGCCGGATGCTGCAGTAGCCAGGTTTCTGTCCAAAGAAGAGTGCGAGGCAGCTTTCTGATCGATGTCTCGCCACCCCTCCTTCGTATGTCTGTATGATGAAAAGTTCACATGTCGTGCAGGCACTCAAAGCAATGGCGTCACCGCGCCTTCAAGATGCAAAGACCATCAATCGAAGCACAGGTGCTTGGGGTGCTTTGCACTTTCTTGTAGAGTGAAGTCTCATTGTGGAGTGTGTTACATGACGATGACAAACTGTCCTGTGCACGAGAACGCAAAGGAGCTGCTTTGCCCGACAAAGTGCGGACGAACTCTCAGATGTACTTCGACCAGGCGAGTCACTACCAGGCTCAGACCAGCTTTCGGGTGGTTGCGAGACACTGCGCCGGTTCTGACAAATGTTTGCCGAAGTGATGGAGGATCCCATGGTCGTGGCAATCCAAGAGCGCATGCAAGTTCTGGCGCGAATTCCACCAGGACATGGAGAGCCTTTGCAGGCCCAGCAAGTTTGCATTGTTTGAGTCTGTGCGCATGCAGCATGAGGTCTGTTCGAAGGGTTGTTCATTTTTCGGATCAACGGGCATCTTGATACATGCCTAGCACATCAGATTTTGCGTTGCCGGCAACTTGTGAAAAAGGTAGGGCGGTACCGCGTGGGCGAGCATCTTGGGCCGAAGCTTATTTCTTTAATTCGGGACCATGCTTCCATACAAAGTTCGATGTAGTACTCCTGAAGCCGCTAGCTGTCTCAGGTTTTACCAGCCTCACTACGATTCGGAGCCCGCACAAAATGTGCGGCGCGCAGCGACTGTCCTCGTGTACCTGGAGCCACCAGAGGTTGGGGCATGAGCATGAGCGTCTAGCACTCGAAAAGTCTCCAGGACACAACACGGCTCTCTGTCATGTGTTGTGGAATCGCACCTTATTTTGTTCGGCACGTCTTGCGTGAATGCCGGCCACCGAAGGCAGGAGGTGAGACGATCTTCCCAAAGCACCGCCGGTGCCAGGACACTGCCTAGCTTCCGGAGCTTCTATCATAGCTTCATTTCTTGTCAGTTTCTTTGATCCTCCGTTCACAAAGGAGGCTGACTTCGAAGATTGCTGCTCCCGCATCGAGGCAGCAACGGGCACATGGCTCGCACACATCCCAGCACGGTTGCCAGCAGATGCAGCTGTTCCTTTTCTTGTCAAGGAAACGTAAGTTTGCTGTCCAAGCACTGGAGCAGCCGGTTGGGGAGCCAGGCTGGACACCATTGAAAATGTCCTGTCAGGAGTTGGTGGTGAAAGAGGGCGGCGGCTTCGCCGTCGGGTTCCTGTCACACAGGGAGTTCAACATGAGATGGCTTCGCAACTCAGGTGGTTTTACTTCCATGTCCTCTTGAATACCTCAGGTCAAGGCAGAAGCGGGCACAGCTGTTCTGTTCTTCTCACACGACCTTGACGGCCAGCCCAAGACTAAGTGGGTGTCGACAGGCAGAACATGGATACAAGGTGCTAAGTGTAGCATGCTGGAACCCCTTCAGGGAAGTGCATGGGCTGTGTGGAAAACGCGGCAGGCACAATCCGTTGTCAATGCACGCATCTTGCCCCGTTCTGCAAGGACATATTTGTGTCGGGAAGGGGTTTCGTGCTGTTTTATGTCAGTCGTCAGTTGGAAGCTGAAGAACCTCACAAAAGGGTGCAGTTTAACATGCAAGGAGAGAAATGGGTTGCGCAGCAGTGGTTTCGTCTTGAGCGCGGGCCCTAAGTTCCCGTGCCGGGCTAGATGCCAAGTCACTTCCCCCATCCATGAGCAAAGAGCTTGAAATCTGTGTGTAGTCGTGCCGCACGCTACACGCTCATGTGCGTACATCTTGGCTTCAAGGCCCTACGCAGGAAGCCCTTTCTTCCAGTTCAAAACGCCGGCTGAAGGCAGCAAGCTTATCTCACACCTGAGAACTCGCCTCTGGGCTGGCACCAGAAAAGTGCGCGAATCGCTGTGGAGGAGACGCCGAAAAGCCTCGGCCTCAAGAAGAGACTGATGGCCCACCTGAGTTGTAGCTCCTGTATCGATTCCTCGATACGGCGGTTCATACGATGGAAAAAGTGTTACCACGTGCTACCTGTTCGCCGTGGAGTGTGAAACGCACAAATTGCTCTTGACGACAGCATTTTGTGGGCAAGTTGGCTGGCTACAGGTGATGGTGATGGCCAGTTCCATGATAGTCAGTTGCAACTACATGCGCCGCCGACGCACTTGTTCTGCCGCCTGATAGAGCCATCTGGCTCCAGCTCGGAATCATGACGAGTGACAACTGACAGACAAGTCTTTCAAACATCGGCACTTGCCCGCGGAGACCCCTTACACCCGCCCGCTGCAGCCAAATCTCAAGCCCACCACACCATCGCACCCCGATTCAGAAGTTCAAGTTTGCCTCCGCATAACAAGCAAGTCGCACTGGCTTTCACAGGTCTTTAGTCGAAGAGACAGTGCCTTTCCAATTGAGTGCATGCCATGTGCATCGTGTCCTCCGAGGCCTGAGAATGCAGGGGCAGGGTTTCTCAGCTTCAAGCAGCCACTGTTGAAGAGCCATGTGAAAACCATTGGTGGACCATTGGCCATTGGTGATACAGCACAGTTTCGGATTCTCCCGACGGAGAACTGTTTCGGGGCTTCCCGGAAAGGGGTTTGGGCAGGACCGCGCGCAATCTGCACTGCGGGCGGTGGCTCAGTTCGCCAATGTGGCGGGACAGGCTTGACAATCGTAAATGCGACGCACACTTACGAGTATGAGTTGAAAAATCTTTCAGCTTCAAGACTTTTGTGCAGTGAGTGAGTGCGTAGTACAGCATTTCATGGATCAGCCCGATGCGGAATATCGCACTTCAGAGGTGCAGCACGAGGAGTTGCGGACAGCCTCGTTGCAGGCACTGCGGCAAACAGAGAAGGGACCAGGAAACCTAATACCTTTGATCCCTCTGACTCTGAACAGGTCGCCCACGAGGCTCTGGCACAGTGCGAGGCTGTCCGTTTTCGGATGTCCTGGGCTGCTAACACCGTTGCTTGAGGGCGTCTGAGCTCAGGCGCATGGCCAGCGTTGTGTCCAGTTCCTCCTGGAAGCGCTGCAGAAGAGCACCAAGGCCGAGCAGGGCCGGGAAATGTTTGGGCTGTTCTCTTGCAGAGTTGACCGAGGGCTTTGACTGTCTTTTCTAGCAATACTCCAGATCCTGCGGTTTGTGCCGCTCGTCAAGCTGATGCTTATGCCTGTTGCATGTCCGGTTCGGCACGAGCAGAGGCCAGCGCGAGTGCCGCCGAGGATGTAATCTGGATGGTCTACAAGGCTCAGAGGGCAGAACGGCTTGCAAAATGGCATCGGGTGTGGTATGTGGATCTCTGCGTTGCAGGTGGCACGAAGAAGCGACACAGCAAAGGCTTCCCACGGCTTTATATACTCTAGGATCATCTTTGCCAGTGCCAGTGCATCTGCAGGCGTGGATACTTCAAGCAGGCGGCGTGTCTGTCTTGAAGGCCGGTTGATGTTGCTCGTATCGTGTATGGAGACCGTTCCACAGTTCATTCTCGTTGTGCCCACGAACATACGATAACATGCGTAAGGCATCCCTGAGATAATCACGGGCATCAACCCATGCACCCCGTCATGATCCTTCGCCTCTTGCATGACCCAGGCTGCCCTTCTTTGTCACGCCAACCAGCCGTTTGCCCCAGAGAGACAAATACAATTTGTGCGCAGAACCGCATCTTGACAGTGCACCATGCAGGACCTCTTATTCTTGCGGTCTTTGTTTTCTGGCATGTGCCGAGGGCACAGCTGCTGGAGAACGGCGTGTGGACGGTGTGCCAGCCCCGGCGGTTTTTTATGCGGTAGGTAGCCATGTCATGCCCTGAGCATGCATGAGTGCATGTCTGCGTGCAACTGCTCACATAATTGCATTCCCAAACCCCCGCAACGTGACCTCACAACACGTTGGCTGTTGTCGCATTTCCTGGGATCGAGCCTGTTGCGGGTGCGATCCTCGTCTCGGTCGCTTTCGGAGGCGATACTGCAGCCCTAAACAGGCACATACGCATGTACTCTCAACATGTGCAACACCTTGGTTGGGTTCGGATAATCGGACAGTTCCAGCATTGCTGGCGTGGTTGTGCCGCTGAGGTATGCTCTCGAAGGGCTGCGGTCTCTGGCAGAGCTCCTGGAGGGGCCGGGGCCCAACGGGAGTCTTCATGTCGAAGTTCTTGGAGACAGCGGCGTCAGCAGATCTCATGCCATCCCGCAGACAGCGTTTGCTTGAAGATGGGTTTCTATGCGGTTCGAACGGCGGCAGGTTTGCAAAGCACTTGCGGTAGTGTGGGTGCATCTCTCCGTATCCCTTCGAGGCTCAGCCATCGGAACTTCAGAACCTGCCAGATCAGGTGTCGGGGGACAAGCGCCGAGGAGGTTGCCGTGCGTGGGGCCATCTGTGGAGCATTGTATCACCTGGTTGCGTCCCGAGATTGGAAGAAAGGTTCGGTCGAACATACTGTTCCACCGTAGCGGTCAGGGCTTGGATTGCACCGTTTCGGTGACGAGATTGGTTCAAGCTCCGGGAACGGTCGGATGAACTTCGCTTCTCAGGTCAGCCCAAGGCGAAAGTCAACATCAGCTCTGGCTGCCGCCGAGGCAAAGTCGAGTGAATTCGACCCTCTGAGGTCATCATTCTGAGACACTGAAAACGGGTCGCCGGCAGGTCGTGCAGCCAGAGAGCGTGGTGGTGCTGCTGTCCGAGGCCATCTGTCATCAGAAGCTGATTTGAGCTGGAGGCTTTCTCCCGAAGGAATACATGCTTTGCGCGCTGATACAGCTTCGGAAAACAAGTTCTCATGCTGCCGACAGTTAGTACCTGAACGATGGGCTTGCAAGGTTTTAAGCATCGGCGGCCTTGATGAAGATGCGTTTGGCCCTCAGTCACAGAGGCAGATGTCGTAGTGGAGAAGCTAAGCAATGGAGATGCAGCGCCCGAGCACGTAGTCACACACTGCCTTGGAGTGGCACGTAGCAAGTATGGGCAAAGCTGGAGCTTTCTTTGCATCCAGGCTTTGGGCAACGTGCACTACCTTGGAGACCCTTGTCGACAAGGTGGGGGTTAGAGTTGGCTTATTCGATGTGGGGTCTGTCATCTGCAAGCTGCCGGGCTCGAGCTCCGTGTTGCCTCCACTCTCGCAGTCCCTGAGAAGTCACTGCCTGCCGCCATCTTCTCGCTACTGAGATTTACTTCCAAGGGTCGATTCATTCAAGATGTCTGGCTCAAAAGTTCTTCACCACTCAGGTACTGCAACTCAACTTTTCAATGTTGTCCAGAAAGCACAAAAAATCGCCTGCAAGTGTCAGCTCTTGCAGAAGCTGTCAGCTGTTGGAGGACGCACGCCTGGCATTTGTGGTGGCCTCACGCGGAGGCCGATTCTTTCACAAGGGGGTTTGTTTGGTGGAGAGAACTCGGGTCACATCGGCGGGTCAGTCGACATCAAGCCGATTGCAACGACAGCTGCATGGGGTGTTGGCCCGCAGCTTTCTCCTCTCAAGCTTGTTCAAAAGCATGGTGTAAGAGTCAGCAGGCCGGTGGCTCGGAGAAGTACAGGGCAACATGGGCAAGCGCGGCGAAAGGATGAACTTGACTCAGTCGCAGCAACACTGCCCAGGCTGCACGCGGCCTCAGCATGGATCAGATAATCAGGGTCGCCAGCTCAAGACTTGCTCTCTCGCTTTCTGGGCCAAGCCTCAAACTGCAAGTTGAACAGCAGAATCGTCTGCTGACAGACCAAAAGGAACGCCGTTGTTGTGATAACATGCGTCAGTTTCTTCAGCCGGCAGCTTTTCTAGTCGCATTGCAAATAGAAACCCATGATTGCACGGTTTGTGAATTCAGGAGTCCAGTGTTCATGCGGAGCCGATTGCTCCTTCATGCTTTTGGAATCTCCGAACAAGAATCGCTCCAAGGACTTGGTCCTTTTGCCGGTGTCTGCAGCATCTGATCTCGTCACGAAGGGCTGGTGCGCCCATGGAAAACTCGTGCAGTTGCAGGTCGCGGATGTGGCATCTTATGCTCATGCTGATTAGAAAAAGAAGATGCCGCAAAGCTGTCTTCTCACAGCCCGAGGTACACTTCGAACTTCCGTCAGATCCGTGAGCTTGTTCAGGAGTGTTGGCTGTTTCGTGGAGGCTTCTTGTCCATCAAGCCGGAGTTCTGAAGCCCCAACCAAGACGATTCCAGGATCCCGACTATCAGTCTGGGGAGGTTGATCCCGATGAGCCAGTCCTCGAGGCCAGGCGTCAGGAAGAGCTCCTCAGGGTTGCCGATACGCAGACATGGGAAGGTCGTCGTTGGCGATGCGAACATGAAGGCCAGTGGCTCCTTTTCGCAATGCAATGTCGCAGTTTCTCATGCAGGAATCCACGGGCACAGAGTCAGAGAGTTAGTCTGCAGGCCACGGCTTCAGCAACGCCTACTTTTGTGAGGCCCGCTTCAGAGCCTCATGGCCCACGGCCAGTTGCCATGTGGCCGTGGGATGACTGCACGTGTCCTTCAGAAAGCCATTGCAGCGCTGGCACCAGGATCTTCATGGACCGGGAAAATGTGGGAGCTTCTTGGTCTTGCACCTTCAATAAGAGGATTCTCGAACACTGCACCACACAGCATCTTTTTTGAAAGCCAATCCAGTGAGCAGAGACGACCAAGGAGACCTCGCTTCAGAAGAAGCGGCCCTTCAACACGCCGGTCTGGAACGAACGACTCTGGAAGCAAATCAGAATGTAATGGCATAGGTGCAGGAATGAGTCTGACTGCGTTGTTATCCGAGCACAAGCAAGAAGAGATGCAGCCTGCTTTCAGCTTCAAGCTGTTTCCCGAAAGCTCTCGATGAGGATTCTTGTTGTTACCGCGCGCTTCCTTCTCCACACGCTTCGAGGCCAATGGCAGCTGACGATATGCGCCGCACGCCGCACGCCCCCGTCGCGTCGTAGAGCTCAGGTCGTTGATACGTGGGACCGTGTCCTCGGGCACTGTACCATCGGCACTCAGAGCCTGTGGCGCTTCTCAGCCGAATCAAGAGCAAAGCTGTCGGCACATGAAAGCAGCACGCAAAAGGCACTATGCGCGCAGGACAAGCATCCCAAATAAGAAGCCCTTCCAGGCGCGGCAGAGCATTCCGGACAAGTCTCCGTGGAGCCGCCAGCTCAGCCAAGCACAGCCTTTTGGAGAGTGCAGCTTCAAGCGCTTCACTCGCGAGGCTGCCGCTGCAAATGGGGAAGGGCCTGAACGGAAAGATTTGGGTCCATTCTCGACCCTGGGATGGTCTCCCTCTGCCAGAGAGGCGTGAGCTGAATTCGTTTGAGGGCACTGACACATGACATCTGAGAGCCAGAACTTCAATACCAAAAGCCAACTGATGTCGAGGCCTTGGTGGCCTCGAGCGCAAGAGCTACACGAGGCACGCGGAGCAGAGCGCCACAGCGCCACGTTTGAGTCTGAGTTCCATGCACATTTGAAGCATCAGGACACATGGTCACCACTTCGATTGCAGGAAGGCAGGGGCCTTCTTTCTTCAATTCAGCTGATTTAGTTGGGTTTTAGCCCAAGACAACCAACAAACTGCCAGGTGCCGAGGAGGACGACGTGGTAGGGAGCTTGCAGCCTGAGGCAGGACGACATGCAGTTTCTTGAGTGCGGCCAAGCCATCCGGAATCTTCCCACAGGATACCGGCAAAAGCCGAGCCAAAGTTCTCAGCAGCGACCTTTTCTCCCGAATAGACAAGGCCAGCAAGATACCTCCGTCTCTTCGCAGACCAGCACAGAGGGGTGAAACTTGGATGCCGCAATGGCACAGCTGCTCAGGATCGCACGGGCTCCATCACCCGTGCAGAGTTCGAGGCAGCCCTGCGAAGTGGTGCGATGTCTCCGCCCGCGACCCAGGGAACCAGAGAAGCCGGCATAGAACACCCAGAAGTGCTGCGTTCACAGGCAAAGCCCGGCTCCACAGACAACAGGGCAGGACGGGCCTCCTGGAAGAGTCGATTCTTTTTGGATGGACTTGCAGAGGATTTTGGGAGGGAAACGTGATTCAGACTTGGGGCTTTAGAGCATGTGAGAATTGCGACTGCTACAGGACAGGCTGATGGGGGGTTCCCGCTTGGTCTATGTCAGATCTGTCGAGGCGCAGAGCCCGTCAATCATTTGGCCCCAGCCGGCGCTGACCCAAGATTCTCATCAAGTTGCAGTGGCAAGATCCATGAAACAGCTGTTTGTGCACATCCGCTGCAGGTGAAGCCATCGGCACAAATCAGTGCGCCGCAGATTTCGATGCCCATGTCGCCTCAGGTGCAGTTGGGACGGGCTCGGAGTTGATTATCCGCAACTTTATGCTTTGGGATGGCCCGTGCAGATCGTGATTTTGCACATGGTGCCTGTACTGACTTCGCAGGCGCAATCCCCAAGCAGAGTCCTGTCCCAGTTCGCAGCCACTGTTCCTCCGCAGCCCGTGCGGCTCTCGGAAGGAGCTTTGCTTTTCGGCTTTTCGGTGTTTCGTGAACCGGTGATGGAGCATTATCTTTGTGAGTCTGCTGTGACTCGCAGCTTGTGACTGCCAGTAATGCCCAGGTATTGTCCCCATCCAGCACTCCTCTGGCACAGTTTGCCCAGTCATTGCCCCCACAACCGGTGCGAAGCTCAGAGCACCTGTGGCAGCAGACTCGCTGATCTCCTGCTGTGGGGTCCTCTTTTTGTGTCTCCTCTTCTCTTTCCGGGCATAGCCCGAGGATCAGTTCATGGTTCTGAGCTCGAGCTTAGCCGTAGCCGTCCCGTCTCGGCCTTGAACTTGGTCTTCAAGTCGAGGTGAAGCCTGAGGCCGACGGGGCGACAGCTCCCGGGGTAAGGTCCAAGGAGCCTAGAGGGCCTAGAGCCGTCTGTGTCGCTTGGATGAGGGCCCCTCGCCTTTTTCTGCAGGATTTGTTTGCGAAGATTGACAAGGAGAACTGGAAGCTGTTTTGATGCCCTGCGGTCTACGTCGAACTGACTTGCTGCACGCGCCAGAGGACGGCAGCGGCAGCATCACCCGTGCGGAGTTCGAGCGCGCGATTCGCCAGGGCGAGCTCCAGTCCCAGCGTGGAGCCCCTGCGGGAAAGGCAAGACAGCAAGGCACTGCAAGGCTGCAGGACTAATTACCGGAAAAGGCGATACTCGTAGTGCACAAATGGGGCTGATCCTTAGACTTCTCCGAATTCTTCTCCCGACCGCCTGCAGCATTCCTCTCCTCCCGCGACTGTCTGAGGCACTCGGCTCGTGGTCAGGCGCAGGGTTGTAGCCCAACTGCACGGCGGCAGAATGCACATCCAGTTGGTCACAGGAAAGCCTTTCTCTGCCGATAGGCAAAAGCTGCAGCCTTGGGAGTGACCGAGCAGCTCTTCCTTTACAGCATTGCAGATGTGAAAGTACGAGAGTCAGGCCGGTCGGTGGAGGGCCCCAAGGTGGCTTCGCCACAACGACCTGCGACCACGGCGCTCCTGTCAAAGCTTTCATGCAAGGGACGGGTGCATGGCAAAGAACACTGCTCTTCCTCCATCTGTTCTGTCACACATCGAACAACATCCTCTGGTCTCTAGAAGACACGATTTGAACGAGTCTGAAGATGCTGTAGCAGAGCTGTTCGAGGACAGACATCGGCTAGAGAGCCCGGGGCAGGATCCTCCCGAGGCTAGCGGCTAGAGCCTCCAGAGACCTGACTTTTGCCAGGCGCTCTCGGCTATGCCCCCGAGCCCGAGGCAGCACGGCACTGTGCCGACCTCGTCGGCAGATCACAGTCATCGCGGTCATGATCGCAGGTCGCAGAAGACCAACTCCCAGCCCTCGGCCTCGGCCTCGGCAACGCGCTGCACGAAGCGCCGCTTACGTTTGCGTTTGCCTGCCGAGACACCCAAGCAGCCGCATTCGCAGCCTGCGCAGCCTTCCCTGGCCTCCTTGCCGCCACGTCTCAAGGAGCCGAGAGCAAGGAATCCGGAGTCGGAGAGACCTGCGTCCTCGACAGGCAGCGGGCTTCAACCTTTGATGAAAACAAGGCGGCGGTCGCGATGTCGGAGCATCGGGCGTTCCTGGAGAGAAGCACGTTGCCCAATCCAGTTCACAGACTCGAGAAATCTGCTTTCAGGTTGGCGCTGTGCGTGCCTGCTTGCCTCGCTGACCCCTTGGCCTTCGGCGTGTTACGCGTGTCACGTGCCAGACATGGTCGTGCCACGGCCTCTCTCTTTCAGAGAGCGCAGCATCATGCTGCAGAAGCGACAAGAGCTTCTATTGTCTCACAACCAGTGACCGAGGGCTGTACATATGAGGTTGCCACCCCGCCTGTCAACACAATCATCGTTACCAAGAAGCAGAGGAGACGAAAGGTGCATCTGGCAGTTCAGTCGACTTGTGATCATCTACTAGCCTTCTAACTTACGCGAACTTGAGCAGCAACCGCCCGTGCAAATGCTTTTGTGATAGATCTCGTTCGCTGGACTGAGCGGTGTGGGAGATCGGGCAAAAAGTGCAAGACAGTCAAACGATGCCCGGATGAATTGACTACGGGGAGTATGTGTTCTCCTCGGAAAGATGGACTTGTGTTTTTTCGTTCTCAGAGCGGCCGGGATCAACCGCGACTGCTGAACTCCGAAAATCCGAGCGCGCATGGTGAAGGTTGCCACATCCTAGTGCAGCTGCTCCGCTCGCCACGTGCAGCTGGTCCCACCGGGCAGGCCAGGCTGGGAAGAACCGCAACGAGAGAAGCTCCGTTTCATCCTCGCCAGGACATCCGAAAGGTCCTTGCATGCCTGATGCTGGCACTCGCGGATGCAAGTCCGGAGGCAGTTCAGGCAACGACTGCAGCAATGCTATTGTAACAGCTTTAGTTTGCGGTCCAGCAGACGCTCTGCAGTCAGTTGCGCTTGCTTCAGTGGAGAGCCCTCGCTGCAAGACTCCAGGCGCTGCAAGCGGCAGGTGCATGTCCTGCGCTGGCGCAGGTGGGGATGTAGGCCGTAGGACACATGCAGACAAGTGGACAGAAGCCAGACATGTGCATACCGTCCTCCGTCCTCCGCTTCCCATCTGAACAGGAGGGTCTGCAGGGCGACGGAGCGGATGCAGAGGCGGTCAGCAGCTGTTCTTTGCCTCGACGTTCTGGCATCGCCTTGACCAAGGCAGCCATGTGGGCTCTTGGGGCCATCGGCGGTCTCAAAGACGTTCTGCAGGAGACAGTCGGGATTGTTGCGGCATCCTTTACGCGACGGCCACCACTTTGATGGCAAAATTATGCTCTCGCTAGCAACTAAACATCAGAGCTTCGGCCTTTTGTGATTAAGGCACGTTTCTCTGTATCCTTTCTAGTCTCCTTTCGCAGGCCATGAGACATTGTGGGCCAGACTCCCAGTGACGTCTGAGGAGGTGTCAAGAGTCAAGGTCCAATGCTAGACTTCAGGAGGCATCGTAACAAGTGCTCACGGCCTTGCAAACCAACTTCTCGAGGCCTGGTAAGCCCAGTGTGCTGAGCGGTGGTGCGCATGCGGTGGCCGAGCACTGCCCTCACCACGGTGGCGGGTCCTCTACAGCAGTGGCACGGCATGTGTGGAATGATGGGGATGAGTTTCGGGAGGGTACGGGTGCTGCGCCGCATTCCGGGTCAACAGCGCTTCAACATCGGATTGAGACTTGTCGAACCCACTGTGAGCGCAGCGCGTGAGCAGGCCAGATGGTCCAGCCTGTAAAGAAATATAGTTCGGCCCATCAGCTGTGAATCTTCAAGTGCCGGTCGCCATGGCGCCGCACACCATGTTGCGTACCAGAGTCCGGAAAGCTCGTGCGGCTTTCGTGCCTGGTCTTTGAACAAGTCCAGCATGCACGGCATCCAGTATGGAAAGTCATGCGATTTTAAGGTTTAGGGACGCCTGTGCTCATAACAGAATCTCAGGTTCTCACGGCGTGTGGTACTTGCATCCTCAGCCACAGTCAGAGCTTTGTCGCCGCCCCGACGGTCGACCAGGAGTGTTACATGTCCGGTGCACTGAAGGCGGCATACGTTTTCGTCGTATACTAGCAGATTTTTTTGGGGAACACTGGCACGGATGTCATGGTTCAGTTCCGACATGAATCCGCGTATGTGAAGATAGTACTGTGATGGAGCAGTTGCACCCTCAAGGCAGTGCCAAGGCTGCACGCCTATAGCGTCTTTTGCGAAATGCTAGGATCTCAACTTTATTCCAGAACCCAGTCTGTCTCCCAGGATTCTTCGGCTATCCGCCCGGCTGCAGCTGCATGCGGTGCTGCACTTGGCGCGAGCTGCTCAGCTGTGGCTGAGGCAGCGGGTGCTCCTTTCCTGCATGATAGCCTGCTGGTCGTGTGGGAAGGTGGTGGTGGTGGTGGTGGTGGTGGTGGAGAGTACTGCCGGAGTACCGTACTGATCATGATCTGATGGGCCTTCATGACTATCAATTCGCGAGATGGCCCTGCTTCAGGCACTTCCTCCCGCACCAAGCGGCATCAACACACTGCCTGACGTTCAACAGGCCACCTGCGTGGTGCTCCTGTTGTTCATCTGCTCGCGACACTCTTGCAGCTATGACATGAAGCAAGACCCCACAGAGAAGTGCTACGACCATGATAGAGGTGTTAGATAGCCTTGCAGAGGCTGCCGTGGTGATTTCTCTCCTCCTGGGCCTCGCTGCCGGCACGGTTGCCTTGGTTGGGCCCGTCTTCGGATTCCTGCAAGGACCCACGGGACCCAGAAAAGGGGGAAGCCTGAAAGAAGGGTCCGTGTGTGCTTCCCTAAGTGGGCCAGGAATTCTGCCTGAGGGCTGGTTCAAGACCTGGCGAAAGACATGGCCGATCTTGGGTGCCTTCTATATGGCCGCAGGCCCGGTTCCAGGGCCTTGCCCTTTCGGCAATGGAGTTTGAGGCTAGAATCCGCATGGCCGAACGAAGTGTGAGTGCAAACGAACTGGCGAAGGGCTTTCCCATGGTGGCGTGGATCTGCAGCACCTAAGAGTTGTTGACATTCGAGTGGACACTTCAGGGCAGACTTTGTTGCCTCGGCCGTTTCCGGGGGAGGTGTCGCCCACTTCACTGCGGCGGATGCTTTTGAAGCCATCTACCCACCTCAAGGTGCCGGGAAGACGAGGGGAAGAGACGTCTGTGAAACCTATGAAGCTGCGCTTCTGCAGACAGACATCTCCTGAAAACTGGCCAACTTCCGATGCTTTTCAATCTGAAGTCCCAAGTTTTGCCCAGTTGCTTGTCCCCATCCCTTTCTTGATGCAGGTACATGGGGCTTCTGGTACTTGCCTGGCAGTGCAGAATTCCATGTGGCCTGGACAGGCCGGGCTTGCCGCAGGCTCAAGCATCAGGCTTTCCACAGAAAGGTTGTTGTGGAGTTGTGACAGCTGGCAGGTGTTGCGGAGATTGCTGGGGGTTCTGGCCTCTTCCTGGGGTCATTGCTCCTGGGACTGGCAGGTGGGCGAGGGCGGGGGGTAAAGAGGGAAGGAGTGCGCCAACATGCAGCTTCAGTGCAGGGGCCTTCAATTGGGAGCTACCTGCAGTTCTGCGCTCCATTCCTGCGACACTGGGCCTGCATTTGTGGAGACATCCACAACGCACGAAAAGCCATTACCATCAGAGGGCCTTCCAAAGAAGATGGAGATTGCTCAGCTCGCAGCACGGGGGTCTTGTGTAAATCGGCTTGTGCACTGCCTGGTTTGGGACAGGTATTCGATTCAGTGGGGTTTTGGGGGCTGAAGGCATTTGAGCTGACCCAGGCTCTCAGCCTTGGGCCTCTTTGCGTTGACTTGGGCAGTGGCTTGTCGGCACTTAGCTTGACCTGTTGTGCATCTTCTTCGTCTTTTGCTTCTCGAGGTAACCCCTGCGAACATCTACATGTACACCCATGGAGCTCAGATGATAGGCCGTCCTGCCAGCTCGCAGCTCTCAGCTCTCTCTCTCGGTCTTGCAGCCGCTTCGTGGAGGTCTCACGCCGGGCGACCAGCCCATCCCCGTGGACCGCACAGGGGCATTGCAGCGTAGGAAGCCTTTTTGAAGTTGGGAGCGTTGCATGGAGCGCCCCCACCCCAGGAGTTCCACGCTGTCCGGGGCCTTCTCCAGGCCCGTGGCGGTTGAGTGTTCGGAGGCCCGCAAAAGGGCTCTCGGCTCTCGTTCTTCCCTGAGGTGGTGCTGTTGGGCATCCTTTGGGGCTACTACAGCGCTTCCAGCTGCAAACATGCTACAAGGATTCATCCCGACACCCAGTGTCCATACAGTTCTAGAAGTTCTGCCTGTTTTTTCGCGGCTGTGAATAACTTGCAAGCCGAGGTGCGGCCCGAGAGGAAACCCGAGAAGCCTGAGACATGATGCGCACTGCGAGCAGCCCAAGTAAGGCAGGCGCGGGATCGTGATTTCGACGACCAACGACGGAAACATGAGGAGGGCGTTTGCCAGTCGAATCTCTTAGTTCATTAGGATCTTCGACTCCGTAGCTGGAAGGAGTCCAATTTTCGACATTGCCCTTTGCACCCACGAGTGGTGCGACACGTAGAGCAGAAGTCTTCGGCTTGACATCGATTCGCGAAGAGAAAAATGGACGATGACTGCGCGAAATGTTTTGCAATAGTTGGAAAGAAGTATTCATCGTACGTCGACTTTATGCGAGAGGCCTGCCGACAACTGCCGGCCCTTTGTTGCCGCTGAGTGTCACGTCGTGAACACGCTGGCATTTGTTCCTCGCGGTGTGTCACCAAGGTGTGCAGCACGTGCCGGCGACGGGGAGGAGCTGAAGCAATTGCCGGTGGGGGCCACAGTGGACGAGTGTAGACGACACTGTCACTACCGCTCATTTGTTCGAACATGCGCATCTTGGAACCTCATCTGCCAGACAGTCCTGTTGATGGTCAGAGCTGCCACAGGGTGTTGACTGTTGCAGTGTATGCAATCACGCTCGCAGCCCTGACGAGTGGTGATACCATGTGATAACCAACAAGTCGTGGAGCCAGATAGTTCCGTTGTTTGATGAAGTTGGATTGTTTGGGCTTGGCTGCCGTACACCGAAAGCCTGTTGGGGGCAGGATCTGCCGTTCTGCAAGACCGAGAATTGCAGTTGTGTTTTTGAAGCAGCGGGCTTCTCTAGTGACCAGCTGCTGCAGCATGCCACCAGAAAAAGGTCCCAGCTGAACCCGAGCCAAAGACACGAGCACCCACCAAGTCGAACACATGCGGCGTCTCCGATTATTGTGGACAGAGCTGTACGAAAAAACCAATGCAATGCCCGCCATCACACGCCTTCAGACTTGCGGCTGTGTCTTGCGAGATTGAGGGTATGCGACTGACGCTAGCAAAGCGCTGTTCTTTTCCGAGCCCCGCTGCCCCGCTCCTTTAGTAGAGCGCAAGCAAACCAAGTAAGTTTGCCGGTGAGTTGGAGGAGTTGTATCCCGAACATCCAGGCATGGATGCGTGTAGAACCTGTGCTTCCCTGCGGCAGGCTGCCCTGGTGCTGCTGCTTGAGATGATCGCGCCCTGCTCCTGGTACGAGAGGTTCTCACGCAATTCGAATAGACAGTGTCTAGCAAAATTTGCCGAAGTACGACAACTTCGTAATTGAGCCCAGCAACGAGGCAGGAAGAATCTGCGCCTTCTGGGGTGCTCAAAGCAGCAATGCAGGCGCAAAGCTTTCGTCGCAAGGCGAAGCAAGGCTGAAAGCTGCCACACCATGGACAGCGCTCGTGTTTGGGAGGCCCTGGGCCGCACACTGACTGCACTGACGTGAGATGCCCAGACTCAGCAGAGTTGTCTGAGTCTGCTGCCAGCAAGAATTTCTCGAGGCCCCATGCGCCCCCTGGACATGTTGCCCAAGTCGATCAGGGAGTTCAGGCAAGAATAACCATGACAGATTTGCAGAAACATGAGGAGTGGGCAAGTTGCTCTTCGGCTGTCTTACGGTCTGAACATGCCACCTGCATGGTCAGACGCTCATCTCGCAGCTGCGGCGACCTCCAGCCGCCTGGTTTGAGATAGAGGGACGCATCATGCGCTGCCACTGCAATAGAGCTCAGCCCGGCTCTTCAGGCCGCCGTCCCCTCGGAGAAGAAAGAGGCAAGACCGGCTTGTCCAAAGTCACTTTGGTATGCCGATCCCAATGTCCGCTTTCATCTGAGCTGGCGCGGCGGGTGGTCAACTCCCCATCCCCGAAGGACTGGTGGTCCGGTCAGGATGATGGGAACGATGGCTACGAGTATGACTATGAGCGGGGGCCCTCCAGGAATTCAGGCGACATGGACTCCGTTGAGACACGTGGTCGAACAACCCTGACCTGTGACTGAGCGCTGACTCTGGTCTATCTTTTTGTTGTAGGGTTTCCAGGTACTTAGCCGCTCAAGCTTTGCCTTTAGCCGACTGTGACACTGCTTGGCTCGCAGCGTGATCGAGTTTGCTGCTGGCATATCGAGCATCTCCCAGGCCTGCACAGTCATCTTTCATCATAGGGCTGCAGAGATTGAGGCGTTTTGATTGTGTTGGCTTCATGTGGGCGAAGCTGGATGTTGAGGATCATGCAGCCACGCAAGGTTCGCCGCACATCGCCACCATGGCCATGGGCACACTGCTTGGCGAGATCCCGACGTTACATGGCAGCATCCCGCCCAGGGAGCAACCTTGCTTTCCGTTTGTCCAGTCCGTGTTTTGGGTCGTGATGTCTGCTGGCAGGTTTAGCAATCAACCCTTGACGGTCACACAGACAAGTACAAACAGCGTCACGGCCTTGGCAGTTTTCTCCTGCTGATCAGTCTTTTGCTTTCGGGTGGTCTTGCCTTCCTGGCAGCCGGCAAAGTTTGATCGTTGCAGCCGAGTTAATAAGCAATAAGAGGTCTCATCCCAACACGCACCAGCTGTGTCAGGGCTTGGCGTATGGCTCCCTGCCGCTCGCCGCTCCCGTTGCAAGCTCTTCCCCATTCGCTGCCGTGCCGCTCTCGACCTCAAAGCCGGGCTGCGCTGTGGTCGCTTCTGAGTGTCACTGGCTGTCAGCGAATGTTCAGAAAGAGCCGCTGCTCGGTCGCAGATTGACACTCTCTGTGCCTTCTGTGAGCAGGCCTGGAATGACGGGGCTCACCTACACGACAACCTCAACACCTCCAGTGTCCTACATGGCCGATAGCCAAGGGTTTTGCGGAGAGCCTTCCTCAGTGAATACAGCACGAATTCTTGCAATGGAGTACCGAGGTCCCCAGCCGCACAAACTCGGCTTATGTTTACGGCCAAGGCCGGCCGCATGTCAACCACGAAGTCTGTGGTTCTGGGCAGGTGTTGCAGTAGCAAGTTGCATGTCATGTGTTGAATGAGCTCCGCCTTGTGCCTGGGTGAAGGTAATGTCCCGGGCGGCGTCAGCTTGCCTCCGTTCGAATTCAAGTCGCCCGGCTAGCCTTGCACAGTCCTGTGAAGGACGCATGAGCCTTCGTGTCCCAGCCATGATCTTGATCTGTCGACGCTCTTTGGGGACGAGAAGTACTCGCGACCAATTTTTTCAAATAGCACCGGAGCTCTGCTCCGTGCAAGTCGGTTCCCTGTGGCCGCATCGACTCCCATGCACCCGATGTCTTTCGTCAATTGGCAGTTGCAAATAAAACTGGCGCAGCGGCTCGTTTGAGGGCGTACCAGAAAGCCGCTATAGTAGTCTTGACAATGATTGACCGTGCGATGCCCCTATCCATGAGCTGAGATTGATTTGCTGTTGAAGGGCAGGTACTTGCTGTGAAAATCTCGCAGACGGGCGGGGAGGTGTTTGTGCGGCTCATGCCAGAAGGGCGCCTCAGGCGTTCAGTTCATGGCATGTTTTTATGCGTTTTTATCCAGGTTCGTCAAGGATGACTACTTCGATTCTCCATCGCCGGTGGACTCAACGAGCAACTACCACAAGGAGCCGCAGCAATCGGTTATTGAGTGGCCGCCGAGAACGTGTCGGGTCGACGCGGGGTTTGGACCTCAACCTGGCATCAGGTCTTGGTTTCGCAAGGACAGTCGTGCCGCAGTATTTCTGCATAGTTGCGCTGTTCTCGTGCAGGGCTATGACATGCCGGGAGAGTACGCTGATGTCTCAGCCTTCCCTGCGCCGCAGTCGATGGGGGCGCACATGCAGGACCTTGCACGCTGGCTCGTACAACGACAAAGCCAATCTCCGAACGCTGAGTTGAAGATCGTGGAAGCGTCAGGAAGCAGATCGCCTGGACAGAGAGATCGAAGCCCACGACCAGAAAGTTCGAGAGCTGGCTGCGCAGAACCTCGGCGGAGGATGTTTTGCACGGTGGAATTATGCACATCGAGGGTAGCTTTTCTTGCGAGACTCGCCCTGCTCTTCTCAGGAGCATTCAGTAGTTCGATTGTTTTTGAAGTGTCGTGCGCGTACTGGGGGTTTTTGAGCTGTGTGCTGTCGCAGGGCTGTGTGATTCGTTGTTGTTCGCAGCTCACGAGGCCTCTCTCCGTGCAGAGCTTGGAGACACAGATCCAGGACCACTGCAGCTTTGCAGATCCCCTTTCCCGGCTACTGTTTGGTAAGTGTTTGCTTTGCGGAAGTACTTCCTAAGTTGCAAAGTTTCCCTTGTGCTTGCTTACAACCCCACAGGCTGCATGCTTACAACCCCACAGGCTGCGCTCAGAGTAAGCTAGCGGGGGCTGCCAATGCGCAAGACGCTCCTCCAAGCGTCTTCCTATCTGTTTATATCTGCCTTTCTCACAGGAGGTCAGAGAGAGAGTCGAGAGCTTTGCAAAGGGCCGCCCAAAAAAGTCACGTTGCAAGTTCCTGAACAGATTGGCAAAGGAGCTCTTGGATGGGCAAGAGTCCTTGCGGTACGAGCTGCGGCAGGTGAAGATGCAGGTGAGGGGCCTTTTGCCACTCAAGTCTCGATGCCAAGTTGTCCATGATTCCAGGTCTCCAAACTTCGAAGTATATCAACTTTGTTCATGATATCGGAGGTGAGGCGTAGGAGGACTGTACGAGGGAGCTCGATCGCAACTTGAATGTCTGGAGTGTGACAGACACTCAATCTGATAACCGCAACATAGCCATATTCTCGGCCAGAGCCTGCAAGCTGCAGCTCAACACAAAGTGCGATGCAGTGGCAGCTTAGATGCCTGAAAGCACATCGAGAACCACACGGGCACGGTATGCTCCAATCCTCCGATGTCGTTGCCCCAAACCATCGACGGTCATGCAGGGGTAAGAAATTCAGCAGACAACGGCTGATCGACGAAGCTGCGGGAAATGCCGCAGGTGGAGCAGAATGCCTCAGACCTCGAGGTTGGCAGAGTGAATTCACGGAGTCTTAGACGAAGAGCACCACGCGAGCCCTCTTGCGAGACCATCCGCCGCGACCGGCACATGCCGCAGTCAGCTGCGGGCTCGATGGTGCAGGCTTGGGCTTGAAGGGGGGTTTCGGCGGGCGGTCTCTGTCTAAGCTCTGCTCTCAGGCCCATCCCTTGCCAGTGGTGCAGCAGCCTCCGCCGCCCATGCCTTCGGCGCAAAAGCCCATGGCACAGCCTATGGGGCAGCCAATGACACAGCCGATGACACAGCCGATGACGCAGCCCCAGCCGGTCACGATGCAGACGCAGAGGCATTCTGCTCCGGATAGGATGGGATGGGGACGGATGGGGATAGGGTGTGCTGTAGGAGGAAGCGTTTCAGCGCAAGCTGCATCAGGTCGCACCGACTGACCTTGCCACCGGAGCCTGCCGGTAAATATGACAAGATGGCGGGGGCCTTGCACCCACGCTGGCACACTTGGCTTGGCGTCTTCATGTTCATTGCTGGGTTCATCCGAGTTTGCAATGTTCTATAGTTAGTAATGACTCTATCCAAGATCCTCCATGCACAATTCTCTCCTCCGGCATGGTGTAGAAGCGGGCAGCTGCATGGGGGGGAACGACAGTTCACGATTAGGGCCAAAACAGCAGAGAAGGAGGGTGGTGCTCCGAGTGAACCCAAGGCCGCAAAAGGAGTGATGGCTAGCCAAGGAAGCCGCAAGACCGAATAAGACCGAACGCAGAGATCTGACTTCAATCCCGAAAACGATGATGAGCCCGGCAGGGCGCACGGGCAACCCTATGACTTGAACGTCTGCGTTCTTTCTAGAGAGGCCCTGAGGATGGAAGCACACAGCTGCAAAGTTTTGGAGCACAAGGTGCACAGCAACCTGGGCTACTGCAACGACGCTGGTTTCGACGCGTCGGACATGCTGAGCAAGGCCGCATCCTGAGGTGACTGGGACCAGCTGTTTCGGCGTGCGTGCGCATGCCCTGCAGGCGCACGCCAGGGCAATGGATTCGGCGATGAGCCGCTGAATTGCACAGAGAAGACATTTGAGGTGTGGTGCTATGGGTCTGTGTGAGTCGATGGCCATCAAGCAATCTCTGCTAACCGCTGACCTTCAGGTCTCCAAATTTGACAGGTGTCGCAGAGTGTGTGCCTTTCTTTATCTTTTATCTTTCCGTGGAGGCCTGCACCAGACTGTCAAGGGCTACGTCGCTAACTTCCAGGATCGCCGATAAGAGGCTGGGACAAAGTTAAAGAGTGGGGCTGGGCTGCAGGAAGCCGTAGGCTGTCACTCAAAGGGCTCGAGGAGAACGCCCTAAGGTTGTGCTTCACAACGGTAGGCCGCTGGTGACTTGGGGTGGTGGCAGGCCAACATCTACTCTGCGTCGCTCTGCGTGCAGATATCCGAGGGCAGGCTTGAGACGAGCCTCAGTGAACTCGCACACATGACTGTGAGTTGCTGGCTCTTTACACTCTGAGCAGAGCGAACTGCATAGGAAGCTGGGACGGAATAGGACGTGTGTGGCAACGCATTTCAGGTACGGCTCAGCTTTCTCAAAATTCAGCGGTCTCTCACCAGGAAAGCTGGAAGGAAAGGATCCTACGGAACCCTCTGAGCGGGTGTGACACGTAGCGTTTCAAGCACTTAAGTCCGATTCGCGCGCCACCGTGGGGTAGGATTTCTCGCCTTCCAGTTCGCTTTTGCATCTATGGCTTGGTGCGAGTGTTTGAGAAGCGAGGATTCGGTGAACTGTCGTATGTATCTGTGGGGTTTCCGAGCACCTTCTGGGCCACAGCATAATCATAATCACGCCTTCGGAAGTGAGCTTCAAGCCAATCGCACCAAGCTTGGCAAATGTACAACCGTTATCTAAAGGATCGAAAGGTGTCTCCGGAGCTTCGGATCAGTTTCGGATCTCCGGAATGCCGAAGGTTTTCCGTAGGGTGCGAGCTTGGTCTTGCAGCCTCGTTGCTTATCGTTGTGTATCTTTTCGTGCTTCAACATGTACCTTGCTGTGGCAGCATGCTAACCTGTATGCGTGGAGCTGCGACACTGCTCGTGTATCATACAGCTGACTGTTGGAGAGCTGCCTCTTAATGCCGGCATTGTGCTTCGATGAAACACACTGGAGGTAATCGTATTTTTGCGAATATGTGACGGGCCATCCTGGAGTGCCGACCGGGGCAGTGCAGACAGCATCACTTCCCTTCACACTCTAAGCTCTGGGCGTGGCATCCCAAAGGTCACAGCGTCTTTTTGCCAAACTTGCTGCTCTGCTTTCATGTACTTGTAGACGTTCGAGACGATTCGAACAAGTGCTGTTTGAATAGGTTCAACCAGGTGTGACCAAGACGAGGCTTTTTGTAGGTGCTTCGGGAAGACATGTCCGAGTAGCTGTGAAGGTGAGCCCTGAGGGCGATGCTTTTTGCCTTGCAGAAAGTCCCCTGTCTGAACCGCGAAGTCAAGACCTTCAGTAAAGGAATCATTCCAAATTGCCAGTCATCGTGTGACCGCTGGACGAGAGAGGGGGCAGAGCACTTTGGCAGTAGGTAAAAGACAAGGACAGGAAAGGCTTTCGGCCGAAGGCTAACGTGCCTCGAGCTTGTTTTTGCGGAAAGAGGGTGCGATCCTCTCGTCTTCTCGTGTCGTCGTGTTGCTACAGTGAGTCCATGAGAAATGAAAAGGTCCTCGCCATCTTCGGGCGCAGCGCAGGCAGCTGCCGAGGTCGGAACAGGGCTAGCAGCTTCGCTTTGCAGGGCTCTTGCACTCTGAGGCGATCGGCCGCATTGCGCTCACCACCGCAGAGTGGAGACCCGTACTTCACGGCTACGCCATGGAGGCTCTGCACTTGGGAAAGCTTTCCTCGAACTCAGTGCATTTCATTTCAGCGCTGACGGCGGACTTTTGCAAAGCCAAATGTGCGCGCGCAAGGCGATTGTCGCGTGGATTCGATCTGGCACAGCCGGACGGAAATTCAACAAGGACACTGTGGTGGAAAGGTGCTTCGTGCTGACCCTTCTTGTGGACTGTCCTTTCAGTATCTGTTCTGGGCGGCAGCTGCCCTGTCGGGGATGCCTTTTGTAGACCCTCAGCTGCAGATTTGATGTCATCGTTCTCTCGTAGAGGTTCATGCCGGTAGCTTTCAAGTGCATGCTCGCCACTAGATGCGCTGCGCGGCGCATTGGAGGAATGGGGCGCTCAGCGTGTAGGCGTGGAGTTTTCAAAAGCCGAGGCTGCGGAGCTCAAGCTGCACATCAACTGCATCTCAGCGGCCCGAGCCCCAAACGACCCCAAACGGCCCACCCTGCCTTCGCACAGCTCCAGAGCTGTGCGCCGCTCGTCATAGGTGGATGCGGCGTTGTGCACGGTGATTGACATCCTGGACGAAGACATCGACGGCGCACTGATCGCAGTTAGACAGTGCGAGGACGTGTGCAAGCGAGTCTGTGATGTGCAGGGGAGTACACCTTGGCTGGTACCGATCGCGGCGAGGCGCTGGTCTGCACTGCCAGGCTGCTAGGTCCTAGGTCGTAAGCTCGAGGTTGATGCGTCCACTCAGTGGCTGCAGAGCACCTGACCTTGCAGGGTGTCTCCACATGTTTCCTAGGGTGGGTGAGCAGGCTGAGATGCCCGCCCTCGTGGCCCTGATCGTGGAGGCCATGCGGCTCCATCCTGCAGCTCCCGAGGCCTGCTCCGTGGCCTGCTGCGGGCCACCCCAGCCTCTTGAGCCCTGTCAGGTTCAAGCCAGGGGGGCCACCTGCATCAGCTTCTTGGTGCCCTTTGTAGAGTATGCACGGGCCCACAGTGGGCTGTGCTCGAAACTATTCCGGATGAGCTCGAATGCTCCATGGATAGCCTCATAATGGCTGTGCGTATTGCAGTGTGTCAATGAGTGAGTCGCAGGTCTTTTCTCCTGTGACTGTGCTGGAACACCAGGGCTGCACAGTGGGCTCCAGGAAATGTCTTCTAGCCGAAGAAGCACGTCGGTGCCTGGTCCACCCCCGGAGAACTACCTCTTTGACGAACTGACAAAACAAAAATCAAACGCATCTCAACTGCCTTCTTAGACCATGCTGGATCAGAAACGGTCCTGCTGTGGCAGCAATAAAGCATCTTGCTGGCTGCGTCTCTTTTCCGGGTTTGGGTGTTTTGCAAAAGTGCGGCCTCCCGATTAGCCCGGGATGGCACGGGACCCCCAGGCCTCGCTGCAAGCGGTGGCGCCGGCGGCCATTGTCGGAGTGTGGCGCCCAGGGGATCATGGGCCTCCGGACTCGCTACCCGGTGCTCTGCTTCGATACAGAGTCGTCTCGGAGTAGCGGTTTGCATGCCTTGTGCAGGCGCATTGCTTACATCGCTACTTCTGGCTTTGAAGCACAATTAAAACCACAACAAGAAACTGGTAACAGCAACAAGGGGGCAGGTAACAGCAACAAGGGTTCAGCTATCACATCTCCCTCCATCCCTATCCCTTCATCCCACTTTCCCTCCTTCCTTTCCCTCCCTTCCCTTCCCTCCTTCCCTCCTTCCCTCCATCCCTCCTTCCCTCCATCCCTTCTTCCCTTCATCCCTCCATACTACTACCACCACTGCTGGTAGTAGTAGAAGAAGTAGTTGTTGCCATGGGTTGGGCTTTCCTTGTTGTGGTTACCGAAAAGCGCTGTTGTGGTTACCGAATCGTGGTTTTGTTGTGGTTACACCCTGGCCTCTTCTGGCTTTAGCTGTGCTGCACTGGTTGCTTATTGTGATAATCAAACTGGCTTCTTGTTGCATTTGCAGTTGAATTGTGCACGCTGCGGTTGACAAGACGAAGACATGCGTAAGTGGATTACGCGGATCACTTTTCTTCCGGCTCGCCAGAACATGAGGCCCTGGTTACGTAGACTCAACCCGGCTGCTTCAGAGCTGTGAAAATCGGAGCTGCCATCTTTGCTCACAGCTCAATCCGGTTTCTCTGAGGTGCTTACCGGATCGCGGCGGTTCCCACGAAGGACTGTCCGTTCCTCTCAAACCCACTCACTTCGACAGTGTGTTGCTGTTCGGGAGCACGACGGCACGTTCTTGCATTGTTGTGTCATAGAGGTCCCTGCCTCATGTCCGAAGAAGTCATGCGACTGGGGCTCCGATCGATTTTGTCCTGAAGTCTCTCTGTTGCACGAAGGATGGATGTGATCAGTGGGGCAGTGGCTGCACTGAGAGCCTTCTGCGACCTCGCCAGGTTGGGAGTCCGTTGTTCCTGGCTTTTGGATGTGTTTCGTTTGTGCATTTCTTGCGGTTCGTAGTCGCAGACATTGTAGCGCTGGCCCTCGTCGCCGCGACGATGATCGATATCATCACCCTGCATCATCAGGATTGTCATCATCATCATCATCATCGCCATCGCCACCTTTATCAGTATCAGTACAGGTATCATTATCCTTATGATGATTGTTATCATTATCATTTTCGTTGTTGCTATCATTGCCATTATCATTGTTCGATCATTATCATTATCATTGTCACTATCATCATCATTCTCATCATCACCACCACAATCATCATCAGAATCACGATCGTGATGACATAGTATGTATCATGATGTGACCACGGCCACGACCGAGCTTGATGGTGTCCGTCGTGGCAGTCAAGATTTTCCGCGTGATGGTGGAGGTCGTGAGGTCGAGAGGTTTGCGGAGTGCGTCCCAGCCGATTCTACAAAACGGGTACAGGCTTCATCGGTGTGTCAGGTGCAAAAAGCGCCCGGACGCAAAGGGTGCAGAGGCATCTCCGCCATGGAGTCGATCAGCGTCATTGGATCGATGCACAGATACGGGGCACATTTGAGGTCATCGTGGCTTCACTGCGGCGAGAGGGCGCGGTGGACTGCATAGAGCAGGCTTGTCACTTCAAGTTTACCTCCGATTCATCTGCTGTAGTTGGTATCCTATCTGTTCCTAACTATCCAATGGCAGGCCTTCGGCTACTTCTCTCACTACGAAGATGCGATGCAGATGCTCGAGGCCGCGTATCTTGCATGGCGCTTTGGGCTGGGCCCACTCGTCCGGCGGATTAAGTGCTCCAATGGCCGCTGGCCTCCGCAACTTCGCAGGACGCTGCCGCGGTCTCCGCGCAGATCTCTGGAGTCGAGGCCACTGCAGAGAGCGAATATATTCGTAGCTCTCAGAAGCAGAGCCTGACTGAGGCTTTGTTGACACGCCTGGGAGAGGACACGGAAGCCGCTGGGGTGTAGTGCTGAAGGCGAAGCACACCCTTCTGGTTTGGGTTTGAGGAGCCGGCAACGTCCCACCTCCGCATGGCTGGACTCAAGGCCATCTTCGAGGTGCCGTCTCAGCCGTTTGGTGGTGAGCTCCCGGTCCGGTCCACTGGTGCAGTTGGTGCAGTTCTGTTGCAATTTCAGGAAGGCCGTGCGGACCTGGACTTCCTTTCGGCACGTGCCTGCGCAGCTGCTGTGGAGGACCGTGTCTGCACTGAGCAGTGCGGAGAAAGCTGCAGCTTTTGTCGGGTGAGAGGCTTGCGAACGCATGATGCTGGAGGCTGTCCTGGCTTGGGTGTGTGACTCTTCACACTGTTCAGATCCAAACCCTTCAATTGCTGTTGATGCGATGTGTGGGTACGGGATGCGACCGCCCAGAGGTTCCTGCTGTCTGCATTGGCCAAAAAAACTAGCCAGGCCTCGCAATACAACGAGTCCGAGAAGGATCGCTTGCCTCCACAAGAAGATAGCGGGTATCGCTTTACGGGGACCAGTCACTATGTCACTCGCTTGTTGTCTCTCTTTGGTGAACTGTGCTGAGCAGGAGCCCTCTGACCCTCCCATCGACACGCAGCGACTGCACGAGGCTGGACGTCACGCAATATCATCGGTGCCAACTTCTGCCCGACATCGCTTGCCTACAGGTTGCCTCCCTGCTGTCTGGCCTGTGCGCAGGCATTTAGCAGTTGTGAGGTTGCGCATTGCAGCACCGGAGACGGGAGACGATGTCAGCATCCGCAGACGTGTACGCGAACTTTACCCGGGCCTTGCCAGGACGACTGCGGGCTGCTTGCCTCGCGTGAGATGTTCTTTCCTCGTTTCCCTGAAGATCCGAAGGATGTCCATGACATCTAGTCAAATTATCCTCAGGGTAGTGTCTACCACTCGTCGAAAGTTGCAGCCAGAATTTTAAAGCTTCCTGCAACTGGCAGCAGCTTCCCAGGCCCGCAGCTTGTGCTCCAGCCATCAGAAGGGATCATGGCGAAGTGTACAAGAAACCCACGCAAGCGGATGCCCCGGCCGCGGGCTCTTAACTCCCACCGGAGGAGACGTCAGACCATGCTCGGACAGTGCCTTCTTCGCGAAGACATCGAGCTCGGGCAAGAACATGCAGCTTCTGCACTGCTTCTGCGGCCTCCGCATGCAGCACCCATGCTGGCTCATGGAGTGTACTGACACCTTGCGCTTTGGCCCAAGATAGGTGGCAGGAGGTCTACGATCCAAGCGTCAAAAATCGTGAGACATACTTGTGCGATTTCAGCGGGATGAAGTCTTCACAGAAGGTAGGCGTATAGATCCTTGGCAGCCACAGGAGATTATAGGGCTTTAGTTTATGCCAGCAGGATGGAGGAAGAGGAGGACGAGGCGATTCGAAAACATGAATCGGAAGCCCTGCAGTTCCTCAGCAGCCCGAACCTCGATCACCAGGCGGCCGCGCGAGTGGCAGCTCTCGAGGCAGAGCTTCAGGAGCTTTGCGCTGCAGCGCGGGCGCCGGCGCAGAGGTGGCCCCACGGCACTTCTATGGAAGTCCAAATAGCCAAGGTTACAAGGTGATGCCCAGTTTGTGTTTTCCTGACCCGAACGGCCAAGCTTATGCTACGTAAAGTAACCCGCAGGCAGGCTATCTTACTCGTACGAAGATATCCCAAGAAAGGATCTTGAAAAGTGAGCGATGGTCCCTTGCTATGTTTGCTTCAAGTTTCTTGCAGTCGCTGCATTCCTTACTTGAGGGGGTTGCCGGTACGGGAGATGCCATTCTCCTCGTAGCCACGTGCAGGAACTGGCTACGGTTTGCGCGGGAGGCAAGACCTTAACGACGCGTGTCGTCAGTCGCTTCCTGCACGTGGCTCATCCCTCCTTTTGAGGCCCTCCGCAAGCTTGGCCCTCCTCATCGCTTTGCGGTGCTCAGATGCGCGCTGCGGGCTCAGAAGCGAGGATGTTAAAGAGGAGTCGTGAAGCCCACACTTTCCGATTGAAAGCGTTGCCAAGGCTTCAAGACAGGCAGGCTAGCCTGAGGTTGGGATGGGACCTTGTTGCTTCACGCATGGCGAACGAACGGCTATCGGTTCTGGATACTGCCCAAACGCTTCCGATCAGGCAGCAGCGGCAAGTGCTAGAGAAACGGCTGGAGGACTGCCCTTAATCTTCGCACCGTGCGACACAGGTGGGAAGGTCCAATTTCATTCTCGTATTCTCAGGAGAACGGACTGCCACCACTCGGCGAGGGTGAGGAGTTCCTGAATGAACTCCAGGCAGGTTTCCTAGGTATGACCCAGTTGACCAACTGTTGCACGTTGAGCTTTGTCTCCCGAAATTTTTAACAGCAAATCATGGTTGTTTGCTTGAAGGGGTATCTAGACCGTGCACAGCGCTTGAAGACTTCACCTTCATCATGCTTCCAGGCAGAGTTACAAGACCTCCAGCTGGGCGGAAGACAGTGGGCTGGCTGTTGTCTTGCATGCCAAACGCAACAAGTCGCGTGCTGTTGCAGAGATCCGCGAGTATCTGGAAGTGAAGGATGATGGTTTGTAGTGATCCCACGAGAGACCTCTGCCTCAGCTCCTCGCGCCAGGTGGCGCCAGCGACTTCAAGAGACCGCTACAAAGTTAGGCGATCGAGGTTCGGGCCGGTCTCACTTCTGGCAATTCGAAGCCGGAGCTTTTTCCGAGGACGGCGCCTTTCATTTGCGCAGCAATTCTGTCCTGCGGAGCGTGAGCTCCTCCAGCTACAGGCGCAGTGATGTGCGGTGTCCAGGGCTCGCATCCTGCGTGCGATGCAGGCAGAGCTGCAGCATGCACAGGGCACCAGCAAGGCCAGTGGGGTGGCCGGGGTGGTCTTCGCAGTTGGGCGAGCTGCGCTTTGCGTTTCTATGCGCCACTTTCGTGTTGCATTCGCAGCACAGGAGACTCAGGAGGCGGAGCTGCAGCAGCTCCGCGACGAGGTGCGGTGTTTCCGCGCTTGTATTTGCGGAGAGAGCCGAGTCGAGATGTCTTAGTCACAGGTCGCAGCTTTGGAAAAGGCCGAAGAGGAGCTTCTTCTAAAGATGTCCAACTTCACAAAGAGTCTCTGAGTGCTGTTGCTTGTTGCCAGGAAGCAAAGGCGGCAGCATCGCTGGGACCCAAGGGCCTCCGTCTCGGCCCTTTTTGCAACCTCAGAGATGAAGGCTGCCCGCCTCGGCGCCCGGAGTCGCTGCTTCCGCTGCCTCTTCGGCTGCCGCTTCTGCCTCGGTGCCCTCGGACTCGGCGCCCTCCACGGCACGCTCCGCCACCGGCGCCGCCGTGGCCTCTCCCCGGAGTGCCCCGCCGCCGCCGCCCCCCAAGGCAGGCAGAGAGGTCAGAGGTTGATGCAGATGCTGTCCCTGTCCTTTTGCGCCGTCTCACCATCAGTGTCACTGTGTCCCCTGCCACCATAAAATCGACGAGTTCGGTGGCATGCAGATATGTGATGCAAAGTGGAGCATGTGCAGCGCAGTGCAACAGAAGTCAGAGACACGACAGGTGTTAGGAGGATTTTCGGAATGTCGCCGGTGCCTGTTCCAGCCATGGGTCTGCGGCATCTGGCGGCGGTTGCACGAAGAGCCAGCTTGAAGCAGGCCGAGCTTTAAACCTGCAGTCCACGGCGTTCGGAGGGAAGACTCAGACACTTCAAGGCCAAGCTGCTGGCAAATGGATGCGAATGGGGACTCTTGGCCAAGATAGCTTGCCATTGAGATACAAGGGCTCATCTGCATGCGTTGCCGTAGATTCCATCTGAAATCCATCCCAGGCAACAGCAGCTTTGATGCAAGAGCGACAAGCTGGGATACACCCGAGAAGCTGCAGCGAGTGGCACCGCGGCTTCAAGAAAGTTCTGTCGGGCTGAGAGAGGACGAGAGGCTCAGGAGAGGCATCACGTGCTGTTTTTCTTTCGTGGAGCCCCAGAGCAGACTCTTGGACCACTTTCCAAAAAGGCTTGGGTGGGCGATCAGATCCGCGGACGTCCCTGGTTCCGACACGGAAGCGAGGTGTGTGCCGGCTTCAGGCTTCAGATGGCTTCAGGGCTGGGCCGCGTTATAAATCGAGGCGAGTGGTGTATCGTTCGGAATCAGAGATTCACTGGGCCTTTGAAGCTGGATGCCCGCCCTTAGTCACTGTACCCCTCATAAGATGACGACATCATCCAGAGCAGGTTTCAGTGAGTGTTTGCTAAAAGTGCTCGGGCAGTCTAAGCTGTGCCAGCACTCGGTGGTTTCCTTGCCGCACCCACTCCACAGTTCATGTGCCTGGTGCCTCCTTGAAGGTTGTGTAGCAGAATCTACTGTAGCAGACTTTCATCTTCGGAGGCCATGGGCAGGTGCCTTGATTTCGGGTGTGGCACAGGCCTGGCAGTCATCGCACCCGTGCACAGCGCAGACTGACATATTGTGGTTTATGAAGTGAGGACTGCTGTCTTTTGAGCTGAAAGACAGCTGTAGTCACGTCACCGGACTGGTGGCCTGGCAGCACTAGACTCAGGACTGTACGCTCGGAGTCTGTCGCCAGAGAGTTCAGGATGCTTCTTCCGGCATGCTCAAGGTCATGCAGGACAGCTGCACTGAATGGCTTCCCACCTCCGGTGTTGTCCTGGAGGAGAAGATTGAAACAGCTGGCCTGAGCTCCAAGATGGTTGCCACTCAGGGGCCCCTGAACGTCTTGGGAAGCTTCGACACGATCGTGAGCACCTTGTAAGCAGCGGGAGACTAATTAACAGCAGTGACCCATACCTCGCCAGACCCTGGACAAGATGGCCATGCCCTTCCCGTCTTGTCTGCCAAGGCCTGCTCTGCATCCATCATATCCGCGACTGCAAAGCTCAGCTTAGCGAGCTTGCAACGCACCTCTCGCTCCACGCCTGCAAGCAGTTGCGACAGCAGGGAAAGCGCCCGAGAGCGAAGGAGCCCTAGTGTCAGATTCGATCGCTCCAAGGCCCACTGGCCGGATTGTCGTCATCGACTTTGAGGCCAAGACAGACAAGGGGTCAGGAGTGCAGAGGCCACTGCTTAGCTTTGCACTCAGCTCAGAGGCCACTCAGAATGCACGCCTCTTCCACAAGAAGTCGGAAACGAGAGGTGATCACTACGAGCACGACGGCGGCTTGTCGAGATTGCACTTACGCCAAAGAGGGCGGGCAGGGAATCTGATTATCGGGAAGGCATGTGCAGCCAAGGTCTGGAAGCGGATGCGCTGCACGGGTGGCTCACTTCCGCAGGGCTGCAGAGTGTGGAGGCAGCAGCTGCATGCTCCTGCACTCTAACATGTTTTTGACATTCTGATGATTCCTCGTGTCTGACATGTCCATGCACTGATGGAAGGTTCACCGAGTGCCCTTCGAGAAAGCTCGGGCAGAAGGTGTGCCAGTGTAACCCAGACAGACGGGAAGTGCGGGAAGTGAGATGCGCATACTTGATTCGATGATTTTTCGGTCGGGCAGGTTGGGAAGATGCCGGGTGCAAGGAGACCTTCCAGATGTTGCTCGCCTCGGGATCGCGAGAGAGATAGCGGATCAAAACAGAGCGCTGTTGTCGGTATCGGTGCAAATGATGCAGGTTTGCCGTTGCCTTCGTTTGAATGGAATCCGTAGGATTGGCAGTCCCGAAAAAGTCTGACAGGCAAAAGCCAGGGGTCCGCCACCCCCAAAGGCCAAGGCCAAGGCCGCTCCCTGGAAAGCCTTTGCACCGGTGCACAACACGTCTCCAAAAAGCTCTCCGGCGGGTTCTCTCTTCTCTTCCATTCCCACACAGGCGCCAGCACCGGGTCCGGTGCCAAAGTTTGGGGCGCTGCCGCCCAGGCCACGGAGTTGTCGCCCTTGTGCTCCCATAAGTTTGGCGCCTCCCTCCTCCCTCCTGCGCGCAGGAGCAACGGCTTGGTGAACATCAACTGGAAAAAGCTTGCAACCCCGCCGTGAATTGGAAGTTGCGTCTGATTGGTTATGATGGGGTGTTGAGGCAATGCTGTAAAGCACAGATGGGTCGGAGCTCTTTCGACAAATTACCGTTGAATTGCAGTCCGCACTTACGGATGCCGACTACGAGCTCAATTCGGACACCTTCCTGAGTGCGGCTCCCAGCAGGGCCCAAAAGAACAGTTTCAAAGCTCAAGGATGCCAGTTGAAAACTTGTAGTGATTCCGCCCTTCTGAGACTGCAAGAGGTGCCATTGCGCCGGCCAGCATGCCCGAGTTGCCGCCGCTTCGACCAGGGTCTGCGTTCGAAGGCCCTCTCTCACTGGTGCATGTGTATATGTATGTGTGGGAGAGGAGCGTAGTATGCAAGAGGTGTGCACATGTTAACATCTACATACGAAGATACAACCTCTCTATACATGTAGATCCAGACAAATGCATACATGAGTAAGCTAAGCACACGCGTGTATATATGCTTGCGTATATATATAGATATGCATATATATATATATATATATAATATGTATACACATATATGTATGCCTATGTATATGAATGTTGTTGTTTTCTGTGTAGGCATGGAGGCACGTGCACGCACCCCTGCACATGCACAACGCACCTGCACGCATGTACACGTAAATATGTATACACACATACACTACATACACCATATACGCATCTACATTCACGTACATCTAGACAACCTCGACATATGCATACACATGTTTGCATAAAATACGCGTACGCCTTCTTCTACGTATGCAGGTAGGTAAGCACATGCATGATCTACATACACACGTACACACGCATACATGTATATGCACATGCATTATACATATACACACATAGACATACATATACATACAAGATGTACATGTAGACATACAGTATCCTGTATCTTTCTCTGTGGCTGCAGGACCCGTATGCAGCTTTCCGAAGCCCCGCCGCAAAAGCACTAGGACTAGGCCTAGGCGAAATCTGCTGAAGCATTGGCACCGTCCCTCCCTTCTGAGACCAGGTGTCGCTCCCGACCGGCTGTTATGTCCGAGTACGCTCGAGTGTGTTAGTAACTACTCTCAAAACGGAGGCTGGATGCTACAACTGCGGGAGCGCGATCTCGGGGGGGATGTGGCGGGAGCACGACTTCGAGTTTCGTCGAACTCCGAGAACCCTTCGAACCGAATTTCAAGATCCTGTCGAAGAGCACGATGGCACAGTGTACTGTGCGGCCCGGCCAGGACTTTCGCGACTTCGAGCGACTTGAAGTGTAACATGAGCACGGAACTGTGGCGGAGCAGGATATCCACCCAAATACACCCCAAAATTTCGCCGATTCACCAATCGGGCCTCCCTGCAAGACCAGTGAGAACCTACCCCATGGCGGTACCACTTTGTGGAATTGTAGAGGAATCCGTGCTTGCACTGATCAACTCGCATGTCATAGGGCCAAGCCAGCAGCCTCCCTTCTGCATCCTGCTCGGGCCGGCTGCCATTTTGGGTCAGACTCACGACGGGTCTCGGTGACGCGGGGTCTGTTTCCCGGGTTGTTCTTTTTCTTGTTGATTGTTTTCTGTTGCTGGTCATGTCGAACCCCTCGCGTGCCGCACATGATGATGTGCCTGTCCAGATCCGACAGAGTCTGGCAGCGCAACGTGCACAACAGAGTCTCTTCGAGCTTGACGAGTTCTCTGATCCTGTGGTTCAGCAGGATGGTGGTGAGGCAGCATCTGCCCCAATCCCTTCCAGAGCAGCCCCTGCAGGTGCTGCAGACGGTGTGGTGCTTGAAGAGGTGATAGCTTCGCTCGCTAAGGTCACCACGCAGACGGAAGAAGCGGTGAAGCGAGCCGGTGTCATAGAAACGCTTCGAGCCTGTGACACATTGGGTCTCCTCAAGGGACACCCCATTCTCCAGCGGCTTTTCCTGGATATGTACGATGAGACGAAACGGAACCGCTTGCTGACCTCCAGCCGCGGCTCCTCGGCCGAGGGCAAGCCTCCTGTGGCAGGGGACGCGGTTGCCTCAGGTGCCGATCGTCCCTCCCAGGGGGTGTCACCTCAAGCTTTGGATGTCGAGATGGTGGAATCGGCGGATTCGGCGGCTGATGGCGACTTTGCCATGGTGGATCCCACCCCTGCGGATGGGAGCGCGGTTGCCTCAGGTGCCGATCCTCCCTCTCCGGGGGTGCCATCGGCAGAACCCGAAGTGGCTCTCTCCGAGCCGGGCTTTATCGACTCGGCCAGTGGCTCCTGGGTCCTGGCGGACAAGGCGCCTTCGATCACGGTGCCTAGCACCTCGGGAGACTACGCTTGGGTGGAACATGAAGACGTCGAACTTCTCCAGGCTTGGGTGCAAGAGCAGCTTGATGCGGCAAGAGACCCTCAGACGGTCCTGCCGCAGATCGAAGATCGGGTCGTGATGTTGCAGAAGGAGCTCCCGTTTGTCTCGGTCATGGACTTGTTTAGCAAGTCCCACCCATGGTGGGGGGCAGTATGCAGATGGTACTGCGTCCCGGAAGAGGTGGGCATGGTGAAAGGCCAAAAGCTTTCTAGCACAGTCTTGGCCAGATGGAACTGCCTGCGACGGGAGGACCGTGTGAAGATCCTCTCGCATGTGGATGCCACTTCTAAGGAGTTCCACCAGGACCCGAGTCAGTTCGTGAGCGGCTTGATGCACATGAAGCACAAGCTCCCTTTTAAGAATGTCGGCACGGTCATCCTCTCCCTGCCGTCCCTGACGAAAGACGAGCTGCTGGGCTCTGACAGAGCGGTGGTCCAATGCGTGGACGCCAGTAAGGCGGTATACAGGCTGGTCTCCCCGGAGGTGATGCCCGACCGCTTCTTCCGCAGTGACGTCGCGACCATCCTCCGTTCCCTCCCGAAGTTGGTGGTGGAGAAGATGGTGGCCGCCGTGGAGTCTGAGGACTCGGGGCTCTTCGAGGATGCGATCCTGAACATCGGGGGCCACCTCCGCAGCAGAGTGGCTACGCTCCGCCAGGAGGAAATCCTCAAGAAGCAGGGCCAAGGGTTTGGCACAGTTACGGTGCCCAGGCCCTCGACCGCGCCCCTGCCTTATATCTGCTCGGACCCTGGCTGCGGGGCTAGGTTTGCTTCTGCCCTCAGGGTCCGGTGCTTTCTGTGCAACAAGATGGTTCTGCCTGTCAGGGAAGCAATCCTTCTATCGAGGCCCCGGCCCCGGATGGATCCTCCTGGCGCTTGGTGGAGGGTGCGTGGCAGAACACCTCGAACAGCTTCAGGGAGGACTTCAAGTACAAGTTCGGCAGGCCCCAGACGGAATATGAAAGGAAGTTGCCGGGCCCTCTCCGCTGCCATCAACGCTGCCGGTCCGATGGGGGAAGCCTCCTCACCCGGTCCGGTTGCCTCAGGTGCCGATGGCCGGGGGGAGGTGGCCTACTCTTCGGAGGACCTGGCTCAGAAGATGGAGGATCAGGCCTTCCGTGGACTCCTTTTTGCCTCGGACTTAGACTGCCCACGGTTTGATTCTCAGGATGGCCCGGAGCAGAAGCCTCATGAAATCGGCGTGGTCGATAGCCCGGACATGGCCAACGCCCGCATCACCCTTGAGGATGCGGCCCACCAGGCCGAGGGGGCGGCTACCTTTGCCGAGGCGGTGAACCTGGAGAACAAGACACACAGAGGCAAGGTCCTCCGGGCGGCTGCGGGGGCTGCCCTGGCAGTGCTCCAGTGCCACTCGAAGCTAGTCGCCTGGGCCTCATCTCACGAGGCGGCGGCGTCGGCTTTCAGGAACCAAGGAGCGGATATCTTCACCTGTTGCGAGAGGGATGCACTCCCGCTCCTCCTTGTGGTCCAGAAGGGTGAGATGGCCCACGTCTTGAAGGAGTATGCGGATGTGCCCACGGTCCGGACTGTCCTGACCAAGCTCGGCATGGCGATCTGCAACCTCAGGACGCTGATGGAGACCCCGGACCAGAAGAACACCACGCTCCTGGACGTGGTCCCGGGGGGCGAGGTCGCCAAGAACATTTTCGATCACCTGGACTGCTCCTCCCCACTGGGCCTCCTTCAGGCTCACTCGGAGGGAAACCTCCTGGATTTTGGGCAACAGGGCTGGGAGCATTTTGACAGCCCAGCGGGTCCCGTCCTGTTGGATGCAGCTGGCCGCGTCCTCTCCCTCTCTGATGTTACCAAGGTTGAGGCGACAGGGGGGCATCTTTGTGATCTCCTACCTCGACGGCATGTCAGTGGAGGCCAGCTTTGGACCTGGGGTCGAACCGGTCCCGGCGAAGGCAGAGGGGGACACCCCGGTTGCCTCAGGTGCCGATGGGTGGACCCCGAAGCCGGAGCGGCCGCCCACGGACCGGGACATCGCAATGGAAAACCTCAAGCAGCTGGAACAGGCGGCTATGGAGGAGGGCACCGTGGACGCGGCCGAAGAGGTCGCTAAGACAGCACTCCTTCCGGAAAAAAGGGCGGTCGCCAATATGGCTCAGATCTCTACAGCCACGTTGGAGGCCAACCTCAGAGGGACCAACCAGGGCCAGGGCCTTCTTGCTGCGATGCGTAGGACATTGGCGCCCCGAGAGATGACCTTTGACAAAGAAGAGAAAGCCAAGCGGGAGGAGAACAAGAAGCGCAACGCGGAGCAGCTTCAGGACCATTTTGTCTACACTCCGGTGGTCCAGCAGCCCAGCCTTTGGAGCAGGGAGCTGGTCGAGCTGGTGGAGCGCCACGCGGAAGGGGTCACGGGGGAGCTCTCAAGTTTCCAGGAAAGGGACCCAGATGTTCTCGGCCGGATCCAGTCCGAGGTGGTGGAGGTCCACAAGATCATACAGTCGATACCAAATGTTCCCGAGGACATTGTCGGTGGTGACCTTAAGCACCAGGCTGACATCCAGCGTGCGGCTTCCTTCTTCAACCCGGCCCTCTTCGACAAGCCGTTCCCGGAGCTGAAAGGGACCAAGGCCTCTGAGACTCTGGAAGACCAGGTCCGGACCCTGAACGCCATGTTGCAGATGTGTAAGAAACAGACCTACCTCACGGGGTGGAGGTGGGTCCGGCAGCCGGGTTCGGTCACTGCTGATGAATGGTACGCTGGCTGGACGGACCTTGGCCACGAAGCCTTCGCATCGGCCATGCACTCAGTGAACGCCATCTTCGCCAAGCACGGATTGGCGCAATACAGCCTTCAGATCCCGGAGATGGTGGGGAACCTCCTCAACCCTATGGTGGCTCTATCCAAGCCGGTGGAGGAAGGGGAGGTGGACAGGGAGCCCCACCATTGGCGGCTCAATCTCCAGACAGTGACCCTCAGGGAGCTACTGAATTGCTATGGCAGTGTGCTCTCGGCCAAGGACATCTGGAACATGGTGGGACCGACCAAGAACGAGGGCCAGAAGAAGTTCCAGAGGGGTTTTCCCCTGGTGCGCTCCAACCTCCGCAAGCGTGGCGATTACCGGGCGGCCCGCCGCAAGGACTTCCTTGACCTGCGCCTGAAGGCTAAGTCGTGGATGGAGGCAAGGGGGTTCGGAGAGCCGAAGTGCCCGGAGGATTACGCGATCATCCTCCGCCGCATGAGCTTCGAGGTCCACTGCATGAACTTCCTGCACAACCCCAGTTGGCTCGAGGATCTCCCGGATGCCCCGGTCGTCGACTCCAAGGAAAGGCTTCGGCTGCGGGCGGAGTACGACCACAGAGTCACGCTGCCCATCGATTCCCTCCCGCTTGACCAGGCCTTCTTCTCGGGCAAGCACAAGTGGGCGGTGGCCTTCCAGTACTACCGCTGCACTGGAGGGGCGTGGGTTAAGGCCCCGGACTTCGTGGATAGGCCCAACCGGAGGCATTGGATCCACATGGAATGTGGCATGGTCCTCCCGGCCCTGTCAGGCTTCGACTACACCAGGGTTGGGTCTAGCAAGCGCTCCAAGAACCGTTATGCCTGCACCCTTTGCAGGACTGAATGGGGCCGGGATTCGGCGGAAGGCAAGTGGCTCAAGGGCCACGAGATGCACGGCTGGCTCCTGGAGATTTTCGATGGCGATGTGGTCCTGCAGGCCATCGTCACGGCTCCACCGCAGCCAGGGGCGTATGCTCTTCTGTCGGAAGTTCGAGGGCACGGCTCCACTACTTGACGCGGCCCCACACAAGATGCCGGGGCAGAATCCCTCCCGCATCCGTCTGGGCCCTGACGCTTCCACACAGCTGTGGCGTCTGGTCTTCTCGGAGCCCTCCTTGGAAGCTCTCCAATCTTGGGATGTCTTGGCTGATGCGGTCAAGGAAGAGCTTAAGGCGGATGTGGAGATGAAGCCCTCGGCCCCCTAGCCTGGCTGCGGGGGCTAATCGATGTTCGGCGCCCTCTCGCCTGCCTACGGGCTGTTTTACGGGGTGCCACATCCTTTTATCCCAGCGATTTGGGCGGCATGACCTCCCCAGTACAGCCTCGATGCTCAGGGGATGAGGGGGGGTACGGTTGCCTCAGGTGCCGATTCCCTTCCCTGAACCTACCCATCGTGGGCTTTAGAAGGGGAACCTCCCCAGTGTAGCCCCGATGCGTGGGGGATGGGGGGGTACGGTTGCCTCAGGTGCCGATTCCTCTCCCTGAACCCGCACATCGAAGGTTCAGATGGGGAAGGCGCCTCAGAGCTTTCTTGATGCCTCCGACCTCTGGTTGCGCTGAAAAAGGGGGGACTGGACCTGCCTGGTTCTTGGGGGTGTCTTTTGGGTTTTCTTTGGTGGGTCTTTCCCTTTGCCGCTGCGTTTGGAATCCTCGCTGTGCTGAGTGCTTGCTTGTGATCTGCTTGCGCATGTCTGTCACTTCAGCACAATGTCCTCTCTTCACCCTGCTGGCCGGGCCCCGCAGCCGTTTTGTTCGGTGGCTCCATTTTGCTTCTCGCTTCTCGGTGCCAGTGGGCCTTTTGGCCTCACCGATGGATGAGGGACAGGTCGTGGACACGCGGCACCGGGAGCTGGTTATTCTCACTGAAGCTATCTGGGAACGATTCCAGCCGAGGGCCAGGGACCTTCTGGTGGAAGGCTCTGGAAGACCGGTGGCAGACCAGGTTGGTCCTTTCTCCTCACTCTCCCCCCCGAGACTCGCCAGAACAACGCTGGTCTCAGGGCCGGGTATACGGTCCAACGTTGGCGACAAGGCGGCATACGGCAAGGTGGCACCTGCCTCCTGTGTGATCCATGCGCTTGGTGTGGGGAGATGGCCACGAGTTGGTGTGACCGATGCGAGCGCCAGGGCGCTTTCACGGCGCTGTGCATGGGATGTGACCGCGAATGGGATGGCTGCCGCTCACACCGCCAGGGACGCCAGCGTCGAGACGTGCCCCGCCGACCTGATCCGGGTGCTCCTCCTCCCTCTGATACCATGGAGGTTTTCGCCCTGGACTTGGAGAATGATGGCCGGGGCCCGGGACACACCGAACGGTGCAACTGTGTACGGTGCAGCACCGCACGAACCCGGTGGAGTGTGACGTTGCTGCAAAGGCCCTCCTGGATCCAGATGTGGTCGCCGGCGTCAAGGCTACCTGGCTCCAATCGCTCCCCGAAGATAGGAGTCAAAAGCTGGAGGAGGACTTCACGGAGGCGGTCACTAGGCTTCAGCTGGCCGCGTCGGGCTGCCCTTCATGGACATCTCTCTCTCCGGTGGGTCAACTCCTTGCCGACAGGGCCTTTGGACGGGCCCTCCCAATGGAGCGCCGAAGCGGGAAAAGATCTTGGGAGCACTGGGCACCTAGGGAAGGTCCGGTCAAACAGCTTGCCCTTGATCGGGCGGCAAAGAAGAAATGGGCGGACAAGATCATCTCCGTCCTGGCTCCCTATCACAGGCACTTGGATAACATGCAGGACATCAAGCCGGGGGAGGACAAGTGCGAGGTCTGGAGGCCTTTGGTTGGCAAAGCCAGGGTTAACTCCTTGAAGTCGGTCTTCTACAGCCTCAAGAAGCTCCGCTCCACGCTCGGGTGTTCCCCCCTGCCATTCTCCGAAGATATGGCAAAGGCCCTCCTCTACGAAGCGGTGGACCAGCAGTTCACAATCTACAGGTTGGGGCAGCTGTGGAGGACTCTTCACTGGATCCCGCAGCACTTCGGAGGCTTTGACCCCACGGTCAACCAGGCGATCAACCGGCGCTATGAGTACACCAGGGGTTTGTTGGTCTCTTCGGAAGCCAAAAAGGAACGCAGGGCCACTCCGCCTCCCATGGAGGTGGTCATTGCGCTTGAGAAGCTGGCTGGGACCCTCCCGGAAGGCTCGCCTGATGGCTACGCGGCTTCTTTCTTCAGGTTCTGCATTGGCGCCTCGGCCAGGTTCTCCGACACAGCCCACACCAGGCCGGATTCCATGAAGGTTACTAAGGACACCCTCGAGTTCACCGCCTGGCAGACTAAGGTCAAGGAGGCAGGGGACAATAATCGTCCCCAGCCGCTCATCGCGCCTCTGGTCTCCTTCTCTCAGACGGAGTGGTGGGGACCCATGATCGCTCTCAGTAAGAGGCGGAACAGCCTGGCTACAAAAGGACTTGAGGATGACTACCTCCTGCCTGTCCCAGACAGAGACCGCCTTGACTTTACGAGGCCCCATGTGACAATTCTCGGGCCCTTCGGTGGCTTCGGGCTCTTCTCTCCATGAAGGGAGCAAAGATCCCGGAAGAGGAGGTGAAGATGATGACCCTCTCTTCTTTCAGGGTTTTCATGCCGAACCTGGCGTTCCAGATGGGTGTCCCTCGTGAACAGCGTCGATACTTGGGACGTTGGCAAGGGGACAGCATGGCGGACGTTTACACGAGAGAACATCGCTCGGTGGTTCTCTCCATCTGGAAAGAGGTCCTGTCTAAACCCCAGCCTGGCAAGGATGAAGGGATCCGCTTTGTTCCGGAGGATATGGATGCTCCTTACTACCAGTTGGCGGAAGAGCCACTTCTGGCTCCCCCCGAGGCACAGCTCCCGGTTCTTGCCTCGGCCAATACTCAGCAAGAGGACAAGCGGGCTGATGGCCCGGCCTTCATGGCCACCAACGCCCGTAAGACAGGATCTCCTCCGGTGTACCGGGTACACTGGTTTGACAGGGGCTACAGGTGCCTGGGTTGTGGACTCCAAGAGTTTGGTCACCTTCAACGAGCTGGACTGGACACCGGACTATGTCTTCTGTGCGAAGGCGGCACGGCCAAGCAGCCCCCAGACTGTTTCCTGGGTGAAGCGGTGACCAAGGACTCCTCCAGCGGGGATCCCTCGGATGGATCGGGTTCGGCGAGTTCTCTGGAATCGGACTCCTCCTCGTCTGTCGATGGGGAAGCCACTCCCAGAATGGGTAGCCCGGCGGCCTCTTCATCGGCTTCTACAGTGCCTTTCTCGATTGTGCTGTGAGCCCCTCCTGTTTTCCCACCTGGTATTGACACCAGGACTTGTGGAGCCCCCCCATACCACAGGGGCGGTTGCCACAGGTGCCGATCCCCTGGTGGAAGGGGATTTGGGGAATCCGGGGTGACGGGGGTTTTGTGAACGCCCGTTTCCGAGTGTTAAGTCCTCGGGCCCTTCGGAGTTGGCAGGCATTAGCCCTGCGGACTTGGCGTATTTCCGACCGGTCTTCGGACCTGTCTGAGCTATGCCTGCCCCGGGTCCCTCGGAATTTTGATCTGATCTGCCACTTCTCGGACCTCGTCGGATTCAAGGAAAAAGTGCGTGTGCATAACCTAGGGCTTGTGGCTGCACTGTGACTTGTAGAGGAATCCGTGCTTGCACTGATCAACTCGCATGTCATAGGGCCAAGCCAGCAGCCTCCCTTCTGCATCCTGCTCGGGCCGGCTGCCATTTTGGGTCAGACTCACGACGGGTCTCGGTGACGCGGGGTCTGTTTCCCGGGTTGTTCTTTTTCTTGCCCTCCCGCCCTCTCCTTGTCTTTCCGCTCAAGCCGGGTTCTCCTGCCGTCGGGCACTATGGATAGACCGAATGCGGAAGTCGACGCCAAGCTGACCCTGGCACGGCCCCCGGAGCTGTGCCCGGACCCCTACAAGGATGAGGTCACGAAGATTGATGAACAGGTTCGTCTGGTCCTGGCCAGGCACCAGGTCCCTTGGCTAGTCCTTTTTGTCATGGGAAAACAGGGCTTCGTCACGGCCCAGGACTGGGCAGGCCGCTGGGATGAAAAGGAACTCCGGAAGGAGGCTCCCAAGTTGGGCTTCTCACCGGGCCAGAACGGATATGATGAGCACACGTGCGTCCTCACCGCTATCCGCCTGGAGAACGCGGTGGAACAGTTCAAGCTCTTAAAGAAAAGGAAGATGGCCGAGGTGGATATCCACTCGGTCGAGGACTACAAAGCGATGATTGGCAGAGGTGACCGCCAAGAAATGAGGGCAGCTTACCTCGCTAAGTTCGGCACGGAACCGGAGAGGGAATACGAAGGCTCGGACCACATGCTTGGTGTCTTGAAGAGGGTGTTGTACAGGGGAGAGTTCCTTTCACACTCTCAGCTCGATCTCAACAAGGTCGTAGCGAACCACCCCAAGGATGGGGAAGTGAAGTTTCAGAAGCGCCAAAGCAAAGAAGATGATGAGTGGATCCATGAGGAATCCAACCGTGTCCAGTCGGAGAAACAGTGGAAACGGGTCCTCATGATCTGGCGGACGTCCCTCCTCATGGTTGTGGCAACATGCACGGGCCCCTCGTGCATTCACCTCACCAAGGCAGACTTGGACGACTTCTACAACTTCCTCTTCGGAGATACCATTATGGGCCGTGAGCCCGCCCCCTCACTGGGGGTGTTAATGACGGCTGAAAGAAAGGTCTGGCGCCAGGTGGCCTTGAACATGGCCAAAGACGAAACCTTGACCATCTCAGCTGCCCTCAAAGAGATCCAGAATAACTCGCGATTCTGGTTTATGGAGATCGATGAGTTCTGCCTCCGTCGCCACCACACTGGCCAGCCCAAGGGCCCCAGAAAAGGCAGGGGCAAGGGCAAGGACAAGGACAAGGGAAAAGTCTTCCAGCAGTGGGATTACTGGAAGGGCAAAGGCAAGAAGCCTGGAAAAGGAAAAGGCAAGTCCAAGAAGGAAGACTGGCGTTGGTCCACTCGCTCGGAGGAGACGGTGGAACCTCCACCTCCTCCGGCGGCTACTTTCGCTCGCACTATAAGGCACCGCACCATGAGTGGGCGCCTAAAGGATCGGACGGCAAGGAGTTCTGCAAGAAGTACCACGCCTTCAACAGGTGCCCGGGGGACTGCGGTCTCTCCCACAACTGCCCTGTGATTCTCCCGGACGGTAAGATCTGTGCCACAGGGCGGCAGACCACTCGTGAGAAACCGGCCCCTCCCCTCCGGGGGTTGCAGAGGGGCGAGGGGCCATCTCTTTCCTCCCAGCTGATAGCGTGGTGGCAAGCTCGGGACCTCCTCGCTCCAGCCTGACGTCTGTGCAGACGGTTGCCTCAGGTGCCGATTCCCTACGTGCTCGGGTCGTACTCGGAATTCCCAGAGTATGCCTCGGACTGCTCCAGCGGGGGATACCACGGAGGCCATCGACCCTGGGGCTGCGGCCCGGCAGCCGCCTCTGGAGAAGAGCCCTCCTAAATTAGCGGCTGGTGAGGGTGACCGCTGGAATCGAGACCGCTGGTCCCAGGCTCTTCCTACTCTTCCGGGCTTCAGAGGCCTCCCACAGAGACTCTTGGATAGACTCCTTCCTGGATTGGCTGCTTGGCCTTCTGCAGGCAATCCGTCCCAGCCTACAGTGCTCATTCTCTATGCGGGGAAGGATGATGCCCGGAGCACTAAGGCGGCGATTGCACAAGTCGCTCCTCTCTTGGGGGCCTCAGTCCGCGAACTGGATATCTGTAGAGGGGATCTCCCAGGATGTACTTTCTGAGGAGACCTTTTCTGACCTTTGTGCCCTGGCCCTCTCTGGCGACCTCATGAGGGCCCAATTGCAGGACTTGGTCAATCCTGCGACACTTTCCTAGAGTTGGCTGTCCTGGTCCAGTTAGGGGCAGGAAAGGCCAATCAGCTTGGGGCCTCGATGACCTTCCGGAGTCGGTGCTCAGGGACACGGATAATGACTCTCTGCTTTTGCTCAGGATGCCCACCTCTCGTTGGCGTCTGGCCCTCGGCCCCCGGCCTTCCTCCTGGAACACCCGGAGGATCCCGCCAACCAAGTACCTCGGAAGCTCAGCAGAATTGTTCTTCATGGTGGGCCACGGCCCAGTGTAAAGACTTCGCGGGCCTTACACGGATGAAGATACACTGCTTTGACCAGTGCATGCTGGGGCACGGGGCCAGGAAACCCACGGCGGTTCTTAGCAATCTGGCCCTTGACTGGGATGGCCTCAGGTGCAGGCATCCTGACCACCCTGTATGGTGGTCCAGTTCTGACTTGGCCCGGTGGGGTTGGCAATTCAATTTGGAATTGGCCACTTCCTTGCTAGCCTTCTTCTCCACATCCGGGGACACGGATGGAGACCGTTCCGTTGCTTCGGCACTGGCTCCGGTGACAGCTAGTACCTTAATTGTCCGGCTGGGACACCGTTCTCGCCCCCTCAGGGATGGTGGCGGTAAGCCATCCCCTGGGAGACTCAAGCCGGAAGACAGATGCAAATGCAAGTTGGCCTGGCTTGGCCAGGGGATAGAGGAGACACTCACCTCGAAGACGGTTGCCACAGGTGCCGATTCCCCAGTGGTCTCTCCTATGACGTCCTTTCGGGAATCGCTCAGGACCCAGGCGCGGGGCTGCCCCTGGCCAGACCAGTGGGTCGCAGACCTCCGCCAACAACTGGCATCACGCCTCTCTTCCCGTCTCCACCGACCTGTTTCAGCTGAGGTCTCTCCTGGACAACCGTTTGCCTTGGACATTCTCCAAGCTTTGGTGGAGCTGGCGGAGGACCCGGACCGGGATTTCCTCCAACACCTACGTGAAGGAGTCCCCCTTGGGGTGGATGGTCCGACGTTGCCGGACCCTAACATATGGCCGTCCAAGCAGGAGCTGGGGAATGCACCAAAAGACTTGGAGCCCCCGGCGCCCACAACGGCCGACAACTACCCCAGCGCTGAAGTCTTCGAGGACACCATACAGAAAACTTTCCTGGAGGAAAAGCTCCTCGACATGGTGGCGGGTCCCCTGTCGGAACAGGAGGCAGCGGACCTCTGTGGCTGCTCGGTCGCAGAGCTGTGTGTCGGGGCCATGGCGGGCATCCAGGAACTGGACAAGATCAGGACCATCTTCGATGCCTCGATCATCGGCGTCAACGACAACATCCGGGCGAATACTGACAAGAAGACCACGGCCCCGACTCTCTACGACTTGCTTTTCGCGTGGCTCCACTTGGCGTCGAAGGACCTGACCCTCTTCAAGTCGGATGTGAGCAAGGCCCACCGGAGGATCAAGGTTCTCAAGAAGCACTGGCGGTACATGGTGGCCAAGATCAAGAAGAAGTTCTGGGTCAACAAGGTCGGCACCTATGGGGTGGCTTCGGCGCAGCTCTACTGGGGGCGTTTGGCGGCCATCCTCACCCGCCTCTCTTACCAGATTTCGGAGGTTTTCCTCTGGCTCCTGGTTTTTGTTGATGATTTCATGGCTGTGATGAAAGAGAGCCTTGGAGAAATTGGGGCGGCCACCCTCATGCTCTTCCTTACTCTGCTGGGCTGCCCTATCTCTTGGCACAAGAATGCCCTTGGGAAGGTCAATCGTTGGCTGGGGTACATGGTCAACATCTCCGAAGGCTCGGTGTGGCTCCCGGAGGAAAAGTTGGCCATCCTCCGCCCTGCCTTGTTGAAGTTGGAAGCAGGAGAACTCCACACCAGAAAGGAAGTCACCTCCCTACTGGGCAAGTTGCAGTGGGTGGCGAAAGCTTACCCTCAGGTGAGTTCCCACCTCCAGCCACTCTATGCGTGGGAGCAGAAACTTGAACGGAAATGGAGACCGGGAGACCTTGTACGTTTTCTGGCAACTCTGCTCATCTCCATCTTGGACTCTGGCCCCTGCGTTCCTCTTCGTTTCCAGCACAACACTCCATGCTATGGGAGCAGTGATGCCGGTGAGGACGATGGCCGGGTGGCTATTGGTGGCTGGTTCTCGCCCTTGCTTAACCCCACCAAGGCGGAGGTCCTGTGGTTCTCCATGGACGTCCTTACCACTCCATGGGTGCAGCCCCTCCTGGCGCACACTTCTCCGAAGCGCCGAATTGGTGCCCTGGAACTCCTGGGCACACTCATCCTTTTCCTGTTGGCTGCAGAGTCCGTGGGGCCCTGCATGATTGATGCTCATCTCCCTCTTACTACAGACAATGAGGGCAACGCCTTTTCTGCCAGCAAGAGATCTTCGAAGAAGTGGCCTTGCTCGGCGCTTTTAATGGAGCTCTCCGCACAGGAGTTCCACAAGGGTGTCTTTGCTCAGGTCACCCATGTCAAGAGGAGTTCTAACACGTGGGCAGATCAGCTCACTCACTTTGATTTCGAAGGATTCTCCCCCGGAAATAGGAGGGAGGTTTCCCTTTCATGGTCTCCAAGTTGGATGATCTTGGACAAGCTCCTTGCTTTCAAATCGGAGCAATAGCTCAGGGCTCCTTTCTGGGCCCTGCTTGCACACAGGATACGAATGCCAGGTACGGTTGCCTCAGGTGCCGATTACCTGTGCTTGGTTCCTGTACGGCTCTGCGGGACCTTCTCACTCACGGGATCCCGGGTCATTCGGATTGGGGGTTGTGAAACCCTTTGTTTGATCAATCTGAGGAGGGGTGGCGTATTTCCGACCGGTCTTCGGACCTGTCTGAGCTATGCCTGCCCCGGGTCCCTCGGAATTTTGATCTGATCTGCCACTTCTCGGACCTCGTCGGATTCGGGGAAAAAGTGCGTGTGCCTAACCTAGGGCTTGTGGCTGCACTGTGACTACACTATACACTACAGTTTGAAGCTACCCGACACCATGTACACTGCACTACTTTGTACTATACTTTACTACACTGTTCTATACTCCATTTTGACAGGAAACACTACGAGCACATGTAGCTCAATCAAATTTGCTGCATTACCAGAGCTTGGGCAGTTCATGTCTTCCTTCGCACTGGCGCCTATGCAGCTGAAAAGTAAACCACCCTTTTCTGCCATGTCTTATCCTATATCGCTATATGTTAACGTTCACTATGCTACAGTATGCTGTAGCTTTTATAAAAGTGCAGGCTAAGCAGTCTCTGAGAGGCCACGGGAGCCAAGCTACAGCGTACGGTAGTCCTAGTATACCGGATTTTGCCATGATATCCAAGGGTACACTAGTACCGTGCACTATAGCACATCAAACTTGCATGTTCGAGGGTCAGCTTGCACTGTCTGCTAACGTGCAGTGTGCGCAGCGCAAGTGCAGGGACACGAAGAAACAGCGGCCGCCGGGGGCCTGAGCTGTAGGAGATGCTTCCAGTTAGGGTGGCAAGGGTGTGAACCTTTGTGAAGCACCCCAGCCCTGGCACCATGTCCTGAACCCTACGGCCTGGTTTTCGCTGGGAACGAAGTTTTGGCACGTAACCCCCGGATGCATCGACTTCGAAACTCCTGAACCCTAGGAGGTACTGAACGCAACAAGCTACAACAACCAACTTCCACCTCGAACCCAAAACCCTTAACCCTTGAGCCTCAGATCAGCGAAAACTTGAGAACTACCATGCAGAGGGTGACAGCCTGCATATATATAGTAGAACAGCGTTGTGGCTTGCATCATAGCATTATAGCCTATACATAGCATTGCAGTTAAAATATCGTAGTTCCATCGCAGTAAAGCAGTACAGCGTTGTCATATTGTAGTTCCCTTGTGACCCCTACAAGAAAACGAACAAGGAACGCAACCCAAAATCGTAAGCCTTGGAACCGAGACCTTAATTCCTAGCCTGGGGTTTGGGTATTGCGTAGCTACGGGTTGAGGGCTCAATGCTGACACTCCGGCGGCTGGGGTGCTCAGAGTCTTGCTTTGGCTGCAATCAATGGGGTGGGAGTTGTAGAGGAAGGTGGAATGAGAGTGTCTGTGGATCGGATGGGAGTCAGAACGTTGTTGAAGGGGGGGGCGGGGTGCACATGGCGGCATCACGTTTGGTGTGCAAACTGCTCAGCTCGTACAGGGCGAAGGTGTCATGGGAGTCGGAGCTGTAGTGGAGGCGCGATGTGTTTGGAGTGGCAGTCCGCATCTCCGTTCAGGGCTTTGAACTTGCTCCAAGTGTGTAGTTGAGGCGCTGGTCGCATGTCTGATGACAAGGACGATGGAAAGCCTCGTCCTCAGAGATGTCAGGCGGAGGGGAGTGGCCTGGTCGGGTTCATGAGGGGAAGGGGGTTATCGGAGTTCGGGCAGTTATGGTTTTTCGAAGCGACATTTCAGCGTTTGCAGCGAATCGCGTTTCTTCCCTGGTCGCCAAATTCAGCGGACCAAGGGTTTACAGAGGAGGGCACAGGCTTTACAGGGTTTAGGCTTGTCCCGCCAGGCAGCCCTAGATTCAAGAATGAAAAGGTCTGATAGAAGCTG